CAGCAGTAGCCTTAACCACAAAATCTGCCAAATTTGTAAATACTGCGAATTTCACTACCTGAAAATTTTATTAAAGTAGAAAAGATTATTGGAATTACTGACCTATTCCAACCTTATTTGATAGCTTTGTTTCTATATTTCCACCTCCAGCACCCTGGAATGTTCCTATTTTTACAATGTTTGGCTTTTTGACATATCCAGATTTATCTACAATTGTCAATAAAGTAGGTCGGTCAGAAAAAGAGCTCGCAAATCTTATGTGTAATGTATGAATTCTTGTTGTAAAAATATTTTTAGATAAATTTGAAAGCATTTTTAAATCTGTTTTATTGTAAATTTAAATTTTTTATTAAATTACATATGCAGATTAAAAAGGATTAAGGATTTATTGCAAATGTTCTGTATGCAAATTTAGAATATTTTAAAAGAGAGCGTTAGTTTGGCGTAGTGTAATTTCCAAACTTGATTGTTTTTTTGACAAAATTGGCCCCCCTTGTTTGACTGAAGGTGTAAATATGAAAGCGACTGGTTGTGGTACTCTACCAGAATTGCAATGTGCTATTTGTGCTCAGGCTAGTCATGGATGTCATTTCGGTGTTGTTGCCTGCCGACCGTGTGCTGCTTTCTTTAGGTTTAAATTGAAATTTATTCAAAAATAAAAAATGAAAGGGAGTCCATTTGTTAGGCTCTTGTCAAAAATAATTTAAGTCAGTAAAAGGGTTAAGAGGAGTAAAAACGCCATAACTAGCTGGAAAATTTATGACCCTTATCAATTTTGATACCAATCTCTTTAGCTCAATGAGATACAATTTAGAGACCGGCGCGGGACGGGATCCCGACGGGATTTTCCGGGATCCCGCTCCCGAAATCCCGGATTTTTTTGATTTTCGGGATCATTCGGGATCCGGGATTTTTTCGGGATTACTCCCTCGGGATCCCGTCCCGGCATCGGTTAAAAAATAAAATCCCGACTCGGGATCCCGGACATTTTTTTATAATTTTCGGGATTTTTATAATTTTCAAAATTTTCGCCTGCGGCACTGAAAAAAGAAGAAATATGGCTTCTTGTCCTCTAAAAATTCTCAAAATTTTTGCCTGCGGCGCTGAAAAAGGAAGAAATCTGGCTTAAGGAACTCCGAAATTCTCGAACTTTTCGCCTGCGGCGCAAAGAAGGAAGATTTTTGGCTTAAGGATCATCCAAAATTTAAAAAATTTTCGCCTGCGGCGCTGAAAATGGATACGTTTTGAGTTATTATTGGAGTAAAGTGAAGGAATATTAATACATAGTGGGATATTATCAAGTAACCTAGTGATTAATCCACCGATATCCCTCTAAATCTATTATAGAGGGAATTAAAGGAGGAGGACAATCCAATTATAAAAAATTATTGATATTTTTACAAATTTAATTTTATTTACTTAGTATAAATTGCAGTATTTTATGCACTTTATTCATAAAAAGTTCAAATTTTTTATTTTGAAAAAAATCCCGAATCCCGGGCGGGATCCCGGATAATTTTTTTCGGGATTTTTGAAATTCGGGATTTTTTCGGGATTACTCCCTCGGGATCCCGTCCCGGCATCGGTTAAGAAAAAAATCCCGACTCGGGATCCCGGAAGTGCGATTTTGCCGGTCTCTAATACAATTACGGTAACTGATGTAAGTTATAAAAAATTATGTATGGTAATAGTTCAATTTTAACAGTATATAAAAATACGATTATAACATTGTTTGTTTTTAGAAGGTGTGTAATTGAAAATCGTACTTATAATTGTCTTAGAGGAACAAATAAATGTGATATTCGTGAAGGTTTCATAATTTACTTGTTAAAAAAATTTATTCTTTCAATTAAAGAAGGACATCGAAATGCTTGCAAAGCATGTCGCTTACGTCTTTGTCGTCAGGCTGGGATGAATTATAACTTTTCTTCTATTGAAGATAATGACAAAGATTTATCATTTCCATTTCAAAATGATTTACAAGTAATTATTTAACTTTATTTAAATTTAATTTGATGCAACTGCTGAATAACTGATTCATTTTTCTGTCCTCAAAAAGAACATTTTTCTTTTCTGGTCATTTTTGAGGAGTAAATAAAAATGGCGTATTCAGTAGTTTCGGTTTGCTTTAAAGGATCAAATGGATTCATCAAATACACCTATAGGAAAGACGTTTGATGACAGTTATGCACCCAATCTAGCCAAGATAATTAGAGCTTATAATTCTTTCATCGATGGACAACGTTCACTTCATGAAGTAATTCAATAATTTTTATTTAAATATTTTAATTTTAAGGTTACTGCTACTGGAAATATTGACGATTTTACACAAATTCAATCAGATTCAAAACCTTTGTATTTTACAATGTTGAATGACGGATTTCAGATATTTTCACAAATGGAAAATAAGACAAAGGTCAAGTTTTAATTATTATTCCTTAACTTTTTCATTTCTTAATTACAGCTAACAATTCTTGATTGTAGCTATAGACAATTTACAATGCTTCATTCCTGTTATTTAACACTTTCCCAATTCCCTGATATTGAGGATAACCGTTTTGTTGTCAATTTTGGTTATGTTATTAATATCGATGAATTAGACGGGTTTATTGAACAATTGGCAAAAGACAAACCTAATCCTGAGGAATATATTCGGTTCATCTAATACCTTAAACAAAATTTATTTTACTTAAATTAGTCTGAAAAAGCCTTTAATGGAGAAATACTACAAATTCATTAGCAACTTAAAGAAATTTCCAGAAGGCATTAAACAGCAGGATATTTGTGCAATGATGGCTGTAACAATTTGGAATATTAGTATTTATATAAATTTATTTTAATCTTAACAAAAAAATTATTAAGCCCAACAAGAATTTGGACAAACAAAAATAAATAAGGATTTACCGGAATGGGTACGATTTAAAGAAACTTTCCTTTCAGAATGGTTAGCGGATTTGACAATGAGGTTTGACAATAAAACACATGAACCGGCAATCTTAATGGCGCAATTGCTTTGTAAATTGGTGGAATTAAATGTATTTTTTAGTTCTGGTATTAAATAAACAAAGATTTTCAGTCAATAGCATCAGCATTGGAAGGGACCACAATACTTCCTGACTTTCAACCACCACATTTGTGAAGACTGATTGATGACAAGATTATAAGAGCTTTAACTGTATGCATTCCTCTTTCCAAAATATGTACTAATTTTTTTTTGCATAAATGCTAAAATCGAATAGCCTTTTTCATAAATGGGACAGAAAATTTTCTAAATTACTCATAAATGAAAAGCTCCATTACTTCTCACGAGTAATGGACTTACCACGGAAACCGTTACGACTAGAATTTTTAGAGTAAAATTTATTTAAATGTCCAAAAAAATTATCAGTCAGATAATATAAATTTAAAAAAAGTTCAAAACAATATTTAAGAAAACATGTAAAGTTAGTAAATAAATTAAGCATCTTTCAACTTGCTTTCAATACTTTTTCTGGAAAAGTATTGAAAATATATTTTTTTATATAAATACGTGTAATCCTTAAATTATCAGCTCTTTTTCCCGTCCTTTTCTTTTTTCTCAGTATTTAATGATTTGCTTAACACCAAATAATCTCTACCCAAACAACCACCTGAACGATCCTTTCCATAAATACACGTCCGATCATTGTCATAACCATTCTTGCGGAAGAAATCAATTGAACTTTCATTGTAAGAGAATACAGTACACATCACCACATCCATATTAGTACTAAAAAATAAAGCACACATAATTAGATATTGGCAAACTTCTAAAATATCGAAGAAGCACTCATTCCTCTTTTTTCAAGTGAGATGAAAAAATGAGAAAAAAGGGTAACACAAAACCGACTATACCTTTTCCCAATAATTTCCATTATTTCGGTAAGAAATGTGCCAAGACCACGGCGGTGATAATCCTTTTCTACTTGTAACTCATAACAATAAAGAACTGGTCGGGAATCATCTTCGACAAAACTGAAAAAGGAAATTTATGTTCGTTTTTCATCCGACTATTACCCTCTGGTAGTTGTACCCTTATTCTACACCCTCCCTTTTTCAATGCCGTGCCCACAAATTATAGGTGTGTAAAATTTAGAAGGATTTGATCCGCGGGAAGATAGCCCTTGATACTCGCATCATTACGCATTATGGCAAGGTTACAAGGAAACTTAAAGGGAAGCCTCAAGAAAACTTATTCTTACTGTCCCAAAATTTTGAAGGTTATTTAATATTCAGTTATTTACCGAAAATGTGCATAAGCAACAGGTCGAACAGTGGTACTTGTATCCGAAGAAGAAGAACATGGACAAGAAGGGGAGTGATGAATACGAGCGCGAATAATGAAGAAACGTGCAGCAGTCGCAGTTAGCTCACGCTGTTTAAGTTCTTCATCAAAGCCCCAACGCGATCTTTTATAGCTTTTAAAAAACTAAATTGAAAATAACAATCATTTTGAAGATGCAGACAGTTCGAGCATATTCCTTCTGAACAACTGGAACGCCCAATCAGCATCTTCACGGTTCAAACGAGTGGCCCAAAAACATTCAAACAAATAGGGAGGGTCCCTGAATTTTAAACTTTAATTAATTAAAATGTGTTACAACTCAGGATGAAGTTGTAACAAATAGGCATCCGGAAATCCATCAAGCGCTCCTTCTCCAATATCTGCAGCAGAACTACAGGTAGGTCCTAATTTATTAAAAAATGTTTTGATAAAAAAAATAAATTGAACCAATATTCTTTAGTCGTTCATCTAAAGTTGGCTGTAGAATTTTCATAATTTGGTGTTGTTGAAGTTTAGCTGCTTTACGCACCATCTTTTTGGCGTTTTCCATTTTATTTTTAAAAATTATTTTTCTAATATTATTATGATCTAAAATTAATAAAAAAATATATTTAATATTATTTTAATTAATAATTAAAAAAATATTTGAACAAATCTTAAATATTTTACAAAAAAAAAAAAAAATTTTTAAATGAAATTATTCTGATTGTGGAATTATTTTCATTTGATTTTCTGGTTTTGAAGACGTAACATCATTTTGAGATGTTGGAAATTCTCGGCAGATAACAGAAATTCGCCTTTGCCTCGGCACATACTTTCCACGAAAATTACTCTCTTCATTAGCTAAGATTTCATGAGTAAATTCAAAACGGGCTAAACCACTATAATTTTTAAAATATTTAATTAAAAAATTAAAACTTCAAACGTTAGTCGATAAAGACTGCGCCTTGGAAGTAATAAGTCAGCCTTGCATATATTTGACAATTGAGGGTTTGTATGAACAAGCCGCATTATTGAGGTAGATAGTAAGGATAATCCACTTATTATTCCACCACAATATCTTTAGAATAATTTTTAAATAAAAAATCTCTCCATTGGGAATCTTTAAATGGAGTAAATTATCTTTCCGAAATTCTCTTAACTTGTTAAAGATTTTTGGAAAAAGTTATGTTTTTTGTCCCTTTTTTTATCAATAATAAGTTACTATACCTAGATTCATCCACATGAGGCCTAATAAACCCACATTCATGTAAATCTAAAATATGCACATAAGGAGATTTTCTCGTTGAATTTGGGAATGAAGTTCTCCAAATTCTTTCAACAATCTTTTGATTATTTGTATTCCATCTAAAGAAAAAATATTAGTTTTATGATGAACAATTACTTGAGTTGTTCTCTTTCGCGATAAAAATGAATTTGTTGATCCCAATGTTCTTCCTCCCATCTCATTCTTTTCATATGGGGTTCGATTTCTTGTAAAAGTTGACATTCTTCATCTAAAAACAAAACTTTAATATTAAAATAAATTTAGAGGGCGTATTCAGGGCAAATTTCGCCCCTTCCCGCACCCTTGATACTTTCCAAATGTTTCAAAACCTTGTGAGATGAAGTCTGGCTGAATATTACAATCTGCAATAAAGTTTGAAAGGATTTCCAATGACCATTGATCCCTATTATATATTTCAATAAAATCTGAAAGAATTAGTTTCTTTTCCTTTTGAACAGATAAGGAACAGAAACACCGATTAGGAAGAGAAAAAGTTGTAGAAATTTTCAGAAAATAAGCAATTAATTCCCTATTTCTGTATAAAGAAAGCATAACAATAAATCTAGAAAGAATAAATAAAGATATTAAATTATTTTATTAAGTAATATTTTTAAAAAAACAATTAAAAGACAAAAACTCCGTCTAATTGTTAAATAATTTATTAAATTAGGTTTAAAAAGCGAACAAGGACATTAATGTTAGAGAAAACCATGGTTTCCAAAGGGACCGAAACCCCAAAAAATGATACTTTTAAATTGTTTCTTTAAATTTCCTCAATTTGCTCATTATCATTTTGATCATTTACAAAATGTCCATCTTCCTCTAAAACTTCTATAGATGTTGGAAGAACAAATCCACCATAGTTTGGTCTACAAGTAAAATATCTGAATAAGGGAAAAATAAAAATATTTCTAAATATCATTTGACGACAAACCTTTTCCCGTCCAAAGATCCATCATTTTTCCCTTCTGGATTCTCATAAATAACTCCAACCCAATTATTTGGCCGACTAGCTTCTTGTTTTGCATCAAAATGTGTCGGTCCAATGTATGCAATTTTGGCAAAACGAGGCTTTTGCCCACTTGTACGAACTATACAACGTTTTCCAACCTAATTTTAAATAAAAAATATAAATTAAACACAAAAAAGCAACCTGCATACTACTCACAATATGATCAGAACAATTTGGCGAAGAAGAGAAAGAACCTTTTGATGCTAAAAATTCCTGTTTCCATTTTCTAGCAGTATCTAAAATTTAAATAATGTAAAAAATAAAAATAAATAAGTTGCCTTTTCTAGCAGAATATTTCTCATCAGGAATTGTATAATGTTCAACATTTGATGTATTTGAATCCTGAGGAATTAATGAAGACAATTTCTGTGAAACATCGTGCACATGAATGATTGAATTATCAATTACACCCATCTACAATGAAATAAAGATGTGAAACTATATACATACATTAATTGGCTCTATATGAAAATAATGCGGGAATCAAATTTTTTCCTGCTCCCCATAATAGTCAATTTCTCAATAATTCTCTTTATATTTGATTTATGCCGTAGGGAAAATACCCGCGAACTTCACCGCAAAAGAATTATTTTTCTCTAACTTTGTGAGCATTTACTTTTTTTTCTGTCCGATGTGTGTGCGAGTTTTGTCTGTCTGTGTCCGTCCGATTTAGTCCGTGGTTTGTCTGTCTGTGTTCGTCCGTGTTTTGTGTCTGTGTTCGTCCGTGTTTTGTCTGTCTGTTTTTGTCTGTCCGAGTCCGTCCGATTTTTGTCTGTGTGTTCGTCCGTGTCTTGTCTGTCTGTTTTTGTCTGTCCGAGTCCGTCCGATTTTTGTCTGTGTGTTCGTCCGTGTCTTGTCTGTCTGTTTTTGTCTGTCCGAGTCCGTCCGTGTATTACATTTGAACATGCCACAGGGAAAGGTAATATTGAAGAGTACAGACCCCATTTTTTCCTCCCTATTTTTCCCCCTATATTTTTACAAAATGGTCAGACTTTTTCCTTCCTTCCATCCAATTTGCCTTTCTAATTTTTGTCTGAATCAAAGAAAAAGGATTATTTTTTGGTATTTAACAAGTATGAGTTTTGAGAAGACTCATTTTCTCTATTAAATGGGAAATAAAATATCAAAAATATTCCTTTTTCTTTGACTCAGGCAAAAATTAGCAAGGCAAATTTGATGGAAGGAAGGAAAAAGTCTGACCATTTTGTAAAAATATAGGGGGAAAAATAGGGAGGAAAAAATGGGGTCTGTACTCTTCAATATTACCCAGGGAAATTCATTGGAAGTAAACGAGGGAAAAAGTCTGACCTTTCTGTACAAAATAAGGAAAAATATTGAAAGGAAAAAATGAAGGAAAAAATTTGATTCCCGCATTATTTTCATATACGGCCCATTAATTCCTACCTCCTCCAAAGTTCGATCATCTCCAACCAACTCTGAGCAAAATTTTCCATTCGGTGAATGCAACTCAAGTTTCATATCTTGTGCATAAATACCTACAACCATTTCTAGTTTAATCTAAAATAATTTTTTTAAATATTAAATTACTAAATTGCCAACTTTAAACTCTCCGAAAGCCATTTTTGCAGGGTAACGGACCTGATATGGAAATTCATTTTTGTCCGTTGTAATAGAAAGATGTAACATTGCACTAAAATCTAAAAAAATACAAAAACCTTATCAAAATTATAAGGTTCGAAACTTCTCCTTCTGGGCGGAGATGAATAGGCAAAATTGAATCGACCTTACTTAAGAGGAAAAGCGACGCTGAATTTTAGCATTGAAAAGTCCAAATTTTGTGAGACTAGGTTAATTGAGAGCAGAAGATTGAGAGCAGAATTGTTTCATTTTTCTTTTTGGGTTTTAATGTGTTTTTGTTTTTTAATAAATATTTTTTACTGTTTAGTTTAAAAAACAATCTAATTTAAATGTCGACTTCTGTAAAACACAGGGATTTTGTTGCAGAACCAATGGGTGACAAAGAAGTAACAACGGTTGCTGGTATTGGGCCAGTTTATGGCAAAAAATTGGAAGAAAAGGTAAATTTAGAATATTTTTTATTCATTTATAAATCACAAATTTTATTTATTTTTAGGGCTTCGATAAGGCCTATATTTTGTTTGGTCAATTTTTGTTATTAAGGAAGGACAAAGATTTGTTTGTGGAATGGTTAAAAGAGGAAGTTGGTGCTAGCCAGCATCACGCAACAGGTTTTAGAATTTTTTTATTATTTTATTTAAAAAATTATTTTTAGCTTGTTTCAATTGTCTAGATGAATGGGCAGGACAACATATTTGATGTTTTTAATGAAATAATTTTTTGCCTCATTTTAACTTAACAAGGCTCACTTTTGACTGGTTCATTTGCTTTTTGTTTATTTTTCTGATCTTTTATGAAATTGACATGTACTTATTGCTTTAATGGGTTTATGGTCAAACTAAATTTTATGATAATGATTTTTGATTTTAACATGCTTTTGTTGGCTTTTTAAAAATTAAAATTTAATTTGGCTAATTCCCTTCATTAAATTTAAATATTCGATAAATGATTTTAGTTAAATTATATTTATTTTAATTGTTGTTATCTTTTAATTTATTACCTAAAATTAAAATTTGCTTTAACGACGTAGGATGAGGAATGTAAATTCCCTGTCTAAAATTGTTCTCGTTTAATTTTTTAGGTGCTGTTTTGATCCGTAGTGCAACAAAATAATAACGAAATTAGATAATTGTAGATTTTCTTTTGAATCTTTGATATTGGCGAATAAGTACGAAAATCGTCTGGGAACGTACTTTTTCTAATTTTTCAGTTTTTGGATTCTTTGGTAAAACTAGTGAATTGCAGCTTTTTTGAATAAATAATTTATCTTCTTTGATTTTAGACGCTGGATCCTCCAACTTTGATTATTTATTTGTTTATCTCTAATGGCTCAAAATGATACGGGTGGATTGAAAGAGGTTAGACTTGATTTGTTAAAGAAAAATTATTTCTTTTGAGGCTTTCATTCATTTTACGGGTGGTGCCGTTGGTGGAACTGCTGGTACAGCTCTAACTTGTCCCCTCGAGGTTTTTATTTTTTGGTTTATGTTTAACAAAAATTTTTAGGTTATCAAAACACGAATGCAAAGCTCTCAAGGATTTTTGATTTATCGGCAATTAAGAGAAGATGCAATAAAAGGGGCAAAAAAACCCTTAATTGAAGCAGCAATACCCGGTCCTAGCAGCAGCAAAAGTGCAGGTATTTTTATAAACGATTGAAATAAGAAAAATAATTTTTGTCAGGTTCTTTTGTTCGTTTTTCTGTCGCAAAGCGTTTAATTCGTGCTCACTGGCCTCCACTTTCATTATTGGCAATTCGTTCTGTTTGGAAGGAAGGCGGTACTGCTGCACTTTTTAAAGGCCTATTACCTAATCTTATTGGTGTTACCCCTTCGAAGTAAATTTTTTTCTAAATTATTCCTTTAAATTTGCTTTTTCAGAGCTATTTATTTTTGTTTTTATTCTCTTACAAAGCGCATCTCTAATAATTATTGCAGCAGAGATGAAACTGATGACGAGATAGACAGAAGGTGGCTTGTTCCAAATTCGGCTTTTATCCATATGTTCTCTGCCGGCATAGGGGGTAGAATTTCTTAATATAAGATAAAATATCGGAAAAGCACTTTTTCCTCATTTTTTTAGGGAAATGGAAAAATGTGAAAAAAAGGTGTCACGTAAACTACACTTACCCGCATTTTTACATTTCTCTGACAGTTATTTTTATAGTATTTAAATAAATTTCTCTTTTGAAACAAACTAATTTTGAATTAAATAACAGGTCTAATAGCAGCTACATTAATAAATCCAATTTGGGTAGTTAAAACTCGTCTTCAATTACATCATGGACGTTTAGGTGCTAAAGAATGTTTCTTGCGAATTATTAAACGTGACGGAGTTTTAGGGTTATGGAGGGTAATTCCTTTTTGTGAATATATGTATTAAATTTAAATATTTAGGGTGTGACAGGATCTTATTTGGGAATATTTGAAACAGTTATACAATTTGTTATTTACGAAAATTTGAGAAGGTAAAAGAAAACTTTAACAATTTTTAGTTATTTTGGATTTTATTAAGTAAAATAAGTGATCCGGATCAGAAATTTCTTGGTTCATATGCAGACAAACAACACCAAGCTTTTTTACAATTTATGTTGGCTGGTGGTATAGCAAAAACATTTGCTGTTATTATAGCTTATCCACATGGTTTAATAAATATTATTTCAATTACTTTTAAATATTTTAGAAGTTATTAGGACGCGTTTAAGAGAAGAAGGAAATCAATTAAGGCTACGACAGTTGGTTAGAACTCTCTGGCGTGAAGGATACATTAAACCTTTTTATCGTGGTCTTAGTGTACAGGTATTTTTAAATCATAATTCGGACTATAAGCAGGATTTTCAATAACTTTTGTATTTTTTTCGGTGCAAAAGTATTTAGCTTTCCCATTTTTATTATTTTTTAATACCAATTTGCGTTTACTAGTTTTATGTAAATTATATTAATTTCTGAGTGGAGGGTGGGAAGTAATGCAGGATATTTAAACTGAATTTATATTTTTTAGTTATTGCGGTCAGCTCCAAATACAGCAATAACAATGTTTACCTATGAGTTAGTTGTTCACCTACTTCATCGTTTATTAGGAGAACTTCCAAAAGATTAGAGTTTATCCTTTTTTCATCTTGTTCAGATAAACAATGATATATAGCAATCCAAGAATTGCTTTTGATTTTTCCATATCGCCGCTCAGCCTTTTTTGATTTTTTTGTTTAGAATTTAATTATTATTTTAAAGTGCTCAAATTTATGTTTTTTTTGTTTAATTTTAATAATAAAAATATTATTATTATAATATTACATTTATTATTACTTACAATTAGTCTAATTTAGTCTTCAAAGAATTTTAAAAGAAAATTTAAAAACTTTTTGCTTAGTTTCCCATGCATTTGACAACTCGTCACTTGTTTGGACTCTTCTTTTAGTTTTTAGATAGAAACATCGGTACTTTCCTGTTATCGGCCTTCATTTTTATTTTCCTTTTCACCGAAACATCTAGATTTTATTTAAAAAAATATTTGGATAATTATTTAAATTCGAAGGAAGCTTGTTTTAACAATTAGTGAATTCTAAACGAAATTATAGCTTACTCTTAGAGTTTCAATACCCATCACTGCCATTCTAACAACTACAAAGCATCCCTCCCTTTTTACATGCCTCAAAGTTTGGGTTAATTCAGAAAATTTTTTCTTGATAATCTTAATCCTATAAGCAAGCATTTTATCTTCATTCCATAAGTAATGTAAAATATTAATTTTGGCTTATATTCTTTGGCAAATGGTCGCCTAGCAAAGAGAAAGTAAAATGTATTTTATGGATGAGGGACTTCTTTTTTTATTAAATGAACGGATGGATTAAAAAGGGATTTACCTCTATCACTATGGTATTCTTCTCTACAATTATTGGATAAAATAATTATTTAATATTATTTAAATGAAAGAACAACGTTAAAATATTTGTTAAACTATTTTAAATAATAAAGTTTATTTTTAATGGATTCCTCAAATCAACATTTACTTGGAGGTATACGGCGTGCTCCAATGAATCAAGTATCTCCTTTTTGATTTTAAATCTTAGAGGATTAAAAACATTTAAAGTGTTTGTAATTTTTTTTAAAAAAACAGGATGAATTTGACACAAAATTCAATTTCTCGAGCGAACGGAAAACTAAACAAAGGAGATACTCATTGGCAAGTTCATACATAATTTATAATTCCATTTTTATCAAAAACTAATTTTATTTTAGGATTCAATTGTGGAAAATCAACCTCAAGCAGTTGCTAATGATCTATGTGGCGGTGCTTTGCTTTGTTGGAGAAGAGCTGTAAAAAATAAAATTAATTAAATATAAATTAATTTTAAAAAGGCCCAAAGATCAATCTCCATTGTTGTTCGTCCCCAAATCCCTCCCCAACAACCACAACAAAGGCAAAAGCCCAGCCGTCAACATATTAGTTTGGCAAGTGCACATAGTGGAAGTGGAGGCGTTTCAAATTTGCCATTGCCTCGATATCAATTAAGTAATGCAGATGAAGGGGATCATCTTTGGTCTTCAAAACATTGTCCAACTACTCACTTGCCAATAATTCGTGTTTTACAACGATATAGCTTTAGAAAAGTTGGAAAATTATTTTTTAAAAATATATTTTACTTAAATTTAAATAAATTTAAAATCATCAATTATTTTCCTTTTAAATTCCTTTTAAGGATTTATTTGGAGATTTCCGTGCAGGGCTAGCTTTATCATTACATGGAACTGCTGAAGGATTAGCAATGGCTTTCTTAGCTGGTTTACCTCCAATTTGTGGTCTTTACACAACTTTTTATTCTTCCCTTGTTTATTTATTTTTTGGGACTTCAAATTTTAGTTTTATGGGTAAAAAATAAAAGATATAAAATATTTTCCTAAAAAATATGTATTTTAAAGGCACAAATTTAGCTGTTTGTTTTTTCTTAGGCAATATTATTGAGAGAAATACTACTGTAGAGGGAAGTAATATTGTTTATGGTCCATTAGAGGTAGCTTCTACAGCAATTATTTTATGTGCAATTGTTAATGTAAATTTTATAATTATTAAATTAAATTTAAAAAATAAATATTTTTTAACACCGTGAATCCTTTTTAATTTTCAAATTAATCCAAAGAAAAATAAAATTAAAAAAAAAACTTTGGAAGTAATAGTCGGATCCGAGTAAACTTTTTAAAAAAAATTGATAATATCCTGAACTACAAAAAGTTTTCTGAGGACAATTTTTGAGAATTTTAAACTTTAAAAATTAATTAAATTATTTTAATTAAAAGTCAGCAATTTATTTACTTCGTTTGGATTTTCTTTTTGGTTTATTCTCTGAACAAATAATTGCTGGATTTTCTTTTGGGTTAGGTACAAGAATTGTATTTAATCAATTGGGTAATATAATTCAATTAAAATCAAATAGAATTTGTGAAGCAGATCAATTAACTATTAAAGTTTATAATTTTTGAATTTTGTTTTTTTAAATTTCTTTTTAAAGCAAGCATCTATTGCAATTGCTAGTAATTCAATTCCAGCAACTACAACATCCTTTCCTTGTATTCTTTGGTGAGAAAATTTTAAAAAATTGGTACTTATGAAGATGGAGGTGCCCTTTCTGCGGACTTTTTTTTGCGGACTTTTCTTTCTTTCCTTTACATATTTTACTTGTAGCAACTAACTGTCAAAGGCCCTCCCCCTTATTATTTTTCTTACCTAAGATTGTACATAAAGGTCAGATTTTCTTCTTCCTCCCCTTCCTCTATTTGCCCTTTGACATATTCAAACAAGAGACATTGATAAAGAGAAGATTATTTTTTTTGCCTTCGAAAACAATTTAAACAAAAAAAAGAATTAAATAAAATTGATTTGGTGTATAACATTATGAATGTGTGTGTAAAAACATTACATTCTTACTTCTATTTAAAAATATTGAACAACTGAAAAAATAAATTGAACTCAGTATTGAACAACTCAATTAAATTTAATCTTCTCTTTATCAACAATATCTCTTGTTTGAATATGCCAAGCTCAAATAGAGGAAAGAGAGGAAGGAAATCTGACCATTTTGTACAATCTTAGGTAATAAAAATAACGGGGGGGGGGGCAATGTTTGAAATTACCGCATTTCTGTTCTACATTAACATATTCTTTTTCTATGAAGCATTCCGAGATCAGTGATCCATTTTCGAAATTCATCAGCGGGTAATTGAAAATTTAGTTAAAGTAAAATTTTTAATAATCTTTTGACAGTTAATTGCTACGAGCAAAACTTGCTGAAAGCAAAACAACCAAAACATTTAAAAAGGAAGAAAAGTCCGCAAAAAAAGTCCGCAGAAAGGGCACCTCCATCTTCATAAGTACCAAAAAATTATTTAAAAAATAATTTAAGGGCTTATTATCGCCGTTTAAACGTTCCAAATAATTCAAAGAAAACTTCATTTAATTTAATTAACCAAACATTAATTAATCAAAATTTATCTTCCTCTTTTCTAAATTCTACTAAAATAATTAAAAATAATATTATTGAATCAGAAAATAATGTTTGTATAAATTAAATTAAAAAGGAAAAATTATTTTTTAGTGTTTACCTTCAATTTGGGAATGTTTTGATGCAATTAATTTAAATACTTTAGCTGCTTCTTTACTTTGTATATTTTTAATTATTTTTACAAGACAAATAATTGGACCTTTAACACGTTTTCGTCTTCGTTCTGCTATTTCTTCTGAATTTTTACTTGTAAATAAATTTTAAATTTGAGAGAGAATTTATTTTTAATTTTTAGATAATTCTTGCTAGTTTACTTTCAAATATTTTAAATATTAAAACAAAATGGCAATTGGATACAATTAATTTTTCTGAATCAAAGTCTCTAAATAAAAAATATTTTTTTGTTAAAATTAATTTCTTTTAAAAGATTATTTTTATTGTCATTACCCTCACGTTCATTAATTAGCCAATTATTTACTGATTCAATTGGACTAGCATTTTTTGTTTTTGTATTGCATTTAAGAAGTGCTAATTTATTATCAAAAACAAATAAATATAAAATAGATGAAAGACAAGTTTTTTTAAAGGAAATATTTTTTCTTTTAAATTATTTAGGAACTTATTTCACTAAATTTAATTAATTTATTGTCAACATTTGTGTCTGCAATACCTCCCGGTCATTCACCACTCAGAACTTCAATTGGTACCCGCGCTGGAGCCAAAACTATTTTGGCTAATATTTCTTTAGTTTTGAGTTTAATTCCAATAATTATTTGGTCATCTAAACTTTTTCAGTCATTACCCATTGTAAGCAGAAAAAAAGAATCTTTAAATTAAAAAAAATTCTTTTAGTGTGTTCTATCATGTATTTTATTGACAGAAATTTGTCCAATGTTTACAGGCATTTCTAAATTACCTCTTTTATGGGAAATTTCACGTCTTGACGTTGTAATAATTTTTTCTTTTTCAAAAATATTCCTTAAATAATTTACAGTTAAGCTTTATATTCTCAGCATTAATGGCCCTTTTTTCATCAAATTTATCACAAGCACTTTTTGTTTCTGTTATTCTTTCTGCTGGGACAATTATTGTTCGTGCTCAATGGTTAAAGAAAAAAGAGAGAATTTAATAATTAAAATAATTATTTTAGGCCACGTCTTCAACAATTAACAAATGTTACAGGTTCGGGTGCTTATTATGCTGAACGTTGTTATTATGGAGGTTCTGATTTAATGGATGAGGCTGGGGTAGTAGAGAGAGAATATTTAAATAATTAATTATTTTTAATTTTAAAAAGGTTTCGGTTGTTCGTTTTGAGGCTCCAATTCTTTTTCACAATTCTTCATATTTCAAAGCTTGTATTAGAGAATCGGCAGCTAAAATTAAAGGGTAATGAAAAATAATAGATAAAAATTTCTTGTTTAATTTTAAGTCAACTTTTGGGTATCGGAATCGGTACTAGAACAGGAAGTATGAAAAGCATGAAAAGTACAAATGCCCAAATAGTTAGTGGTTCTATTCACAATAAAGATTCTATACAAATGCGTTCAACTTTGTTAATTAGTGGAGATTTTGTGGTTTAAAAATAAATAATTCTTCTCATTTAAAATTTCTTTATTTAGCCAAATCTTGAAAATCCTGGAGGGGCTGTGTTGGAATCAAATAATAATAATTTAATAACTAAAGTACTTATAATTGATTTCTCTTCTGTTCCTTATATTGATGGACAGGCAATTTAAAATATAATTTTTAAACAAAAATCTTTCTTTCAATTAAGGCAATTAATGTAATACGTGAATTATTTGAAGAATTAGCAGATAAAAAATGTCGTTTACTTTTAGCTTCTGTTAATTCAACTATTCGAAATTGGTTTAAGGCAAAAAAATATTTAAATTAAAATTAGTCTATAAATATTTTTTATTATAGTTGAGTAGCTCTTTTGAACACGTTCCAAAACATTTTTTCTTTCCTTCGGTTCACGATGCTGTCCTTTGTGCTCAACAACTTGGAGGGGTTATTGCACCAAGTATTCATATGAGGCAAAACTTTTTCCAAAAAATAATTTAATAAAAATTTTTAAAGTGTTTCATTAAATGGTTGTAGAGATTTAATTACTCTTTCTAATGCAGCATCTAATCATGAATTAAATTTACATAGTACTGACATTGGTGGGGGGCAACAAACAATAAATAATATACCCATTACAAATGTTGGAGTAATTTAATTTTAAAAATTAAATTTCTTTTTAATTAAAGCCTTCTGAACATCAAAATAATTCAAGTCTTGTCCCAACTAGCCACCAAATAATTACTGGTTCCCCCTCTACATCAACTGGGTCAACAATTTCAGTTAAACCTCCTTCAACAATTAGAGGAATAACTTCAGGTAAATAATATATAATAATTTTAAAGAAAATTAAAAAGGAATTCTAATTGAACGGGATGGCGTTTCAACTGCTGAAACAGTTAGAACATTTTGTCAAACGATGAGAAAATTACCCTTAAAGAAATCTAATTCTTAAATTTTGATTTTTTATTGTAGTTTAAATTATGGGAATTATTTTAATTTTTTAAAATAAAAAACAAAAATTTTGTTTTAATTTTTTAAATTAAATTTAATAAACTAAATTTTAATTTTACTCCAAATTAGACTACTTTTCCCACTTTCTTGTGTCCACTTTCCTATTTTCTTATTAATTTTTAGCTTTTAAGTACTCTACTAATAAATAATGTTTATATATAAACAAAAATAATTCTTTAAAAAATATAAATAAATTAATATAAGTACTTAATTATTGTCTTTTCTAGAAAAAACATTTTTATGAGAATCTTACTTAAATTTTAATATAATCAAAATAATATTTTTAACAAAAAACAATTTCAAAATATTACTTATTTTTTCTTGTCAAACTCCTTCCATTTTATTACCTTCTTCCTGGTTTTCATTGGCAAGACGATCAAACAATCCTTTGAATTTCTTTCGTTCACGCTCGTTCAAAATATTCAATTGATGGCGACATTCTTGAATTTGTTGAATTGCAGCCTGAAAACAATTAAAATCATTTTGAAATTCGGGGAGGAACATAATAATTGGCTTTCAAACCGCCAATATTCGATAAAATTTATCCTTTCCAACTATACTTTGTAGTTATTTTTCTATTAAAATTTTTTCCATTTCCGGGAGGGGGATGTCCCCTAAATTCTCTCGAGTACGCCCTTAATAATCATCCAAAAAACTAAACTTAATTAATTTAAAATTTTAGACTTTTTCAAACAAAAAAATTAAAAAAAACCTTATTTTCAGGTTCTAATTCAAGCACAATTTTGTAAGTCTCGATAGCCTCTTCAAAGTCTTTAAACATTTGTTGAGCCTGTGCTTTTCGATAAAGAGCCTTTACATTTTTAGGGTTTTTCTCCAAAACTTTATCACAATTCCTAATTGCCTCCGCCTTCTCTCCCATTTTTAAATTTACCAAAACAATATTTAACTTCAAAAAAATATTTAAAATTGAAAAAATTATTTAAAATATACCCAAGCAGCAATAAGTGTTTGTTCATATTTTTCGGTCAATCGTTTGCCTTCTTCCTCATCTGGCTTTGAAGGGCGAGCAAATTCAAGAAGTGAAACAATTGCATTATACTAAAAATTAAAAAAAATATTTTTCAAAATACCGTATTTTTTGTATTAGAGCCCCACGCTGTATTAGAGCCCCACGCTGTAATAAAGCCCCACTTCGGAGGATAGTTGAAAAATAGAGCCCCACGCTGTATTAGAGCCCCACGCTGAAATAGAGCCCCACTTTTTAAAATTAACCTATTGTATAATAAATTGTTAATTTTTAATATTATACTGTTTTTTCTTTTATTTAATGTTCTGTGCCAATGTTAGAGATTATGTATATGCGATTAAGAGGTTATTTATGGATTAATACACCTTAATCTGCCGATATCCATTGAACCAAACTTAATCCATACAAATTACCAGATATTCCGCCTAATCTCATGATATCTCCTCGAAAATCTCTTTGTATGTCAATAACATTAAAAACAATCCGTAGACTGATATTTCCAAAATCACTCTTAATCTATTGATATTTATATTCCTTCCATATATATGATTCTCTCCAATGAAGGGATTTGGACGTTATAGGAGATATTAGGAGATTCTTCTATATACTGGTAAGCATAGATAATGGCGAGATTAGCCTAGTTATCAGCAGATTCATCTCAGAAATCCTCCGATATCCGATTAATCCCCAAATCATTGATACTCCCCAAGTCTCCCGATTTCAAAATTAATCCCCAAATAACTTTTTGCTCACATCTATATCCATCAATTGGGACTAAACTAGATATACACACGAAGGAATGAACCATGCGGACTGAAGCAAAATAAAATCGAACATTCAAATGCTCGATAGGATTCGATCCTTCCACAAATTAAAAAAAATTGACTTTAAATCCAAATCAAATGACTTAACCGCGAATTACTGTGCACGCGCAACTATCCACTTTGTAATTATCCTAATGCTGAAATTTGTTTTTGTGATTAAATCTTATTTGATTTGATAAATATAGTTAACCTTATAATTGAAATCCTATTACCTATTTTCAAAAATATGTTGAAAAATAGAGCCCCACGCTCTATTAGAGCCCCACGCTGTAATAAAGCCCCACTTTGGAGGATAGTTGAAAAATAGAGCCCCATGGGGCTCTAATACAAAAAATACGGTATTATGGCCATAATTAAGTGTCCCTAACAAAGAGATGTCCATTTTTTCAAAATTATTTTAAAATTTTTCAATACAATCTTACAAAGATTACCTTAGACAAAGCAAGTTGATATTTCCCCTCTCCAAAGAATTTAGTCCCACGTTCTTTAAATTTAAGAGCCTCAATCAACTTCTCTTCATCCAAAAGTTCCCAACTTGCTTTAACCTAAAAAGAAATTTAAAAAAATTTATCAGAAAAAAACCTTCTCAAAATCTTTAAGAAATAAAGTAAAAATAATTGTTTCATTAGCATTTAATCCAAATTCCGAAGGTGGGTGAGTCCCATAACCAAAACGTCCTTTTAATGTAACTTTACATTTTTCTCCTTTATTAATACGGCGAAGTGCTCTTAAAATTTAATTAAAAATTTAAAAAAATTTATTTTCAAATAATTCACTACTTGTCAACGCCCTCAGGTAATTGATGTTCAAATCCTTCCCCCATAATATATTCAAGTTCTCTATCATAAAATACACGTCCATTTAAGTCAGAACCAACAGCATGAACTTTAAAAAAATATTTTAAAATTATTTTTCTTTTTTTAAAAAACCTTTAACAGGAGAATGGTCACTTGGACAATTAAACTTTTCCCCAGAAACAATAATTGATTTAATAATTGTACCATCTCTATCGGGACTTAAATCCTCTTTTTGTTCCTTATTAAAATTTAAATATTAATTAATTAAATATTAATTAAAAACCTCAGGTTCTTTAGAAGTATCCATTTTTTGATAAATTTCTAAAAAAAATAAAATGTAATAACTCGAAAATTAAAAAGTGTTAAAAAATAATAGAACTATTTAATGATGGAATCGAGAAAATTCCACAAGGGACATGAAAACTATGGCGCGGGTCACTATAGCGCGACTGTTATGTGCAGGCCAATATGTCGATTGTCCACTATTTGACCATAATTATACGTTAGTGCGCAAAGCATGGCCTCTCAAAAATGAAAAGCATGCTTTTCATAAGTAAAAATAAAAGTTTACAATTGTATACTGTACAAATGTCATGGAGCCGCAAAATCTAAACGTCTTGCAAAAGGGAAAGAACCTATATTTTGCCAATTCATATTTTGCCAAATCCATATTATGCCAATAGGCCACATTTTGCCAATTCCATATTTTGGGTTTCCGGTCCAAATTTTAAAAAACTCGTTATCGACTCTGAATTTTAGTTAAATATCGGTTTATTTGGACTTATAAATATAAATTCGACAGGAGTACTGGATTTTTTAGTGTATTTTTAAAGATCATTTGATCGTCAGATTAGTTCTTTATTGATTATCATTACAGTACTATAAAAGGCAGCAAAATAAAAAGTAACTTTTTATTTTGCTTTACAATTTGTCACTTTTTATATTAATTAACCATCATCCGTATAAACTCACGCGTGGCTCTTCTGTTCTTACTCCGCAAGGTAATACAATTTGTCACTTTTTATTTTGCTTTAAATTTTACTTTAGGCTGCGCATGTTGTGGGAGTTCAATATGTACGTTGCTGTTTGTCTCGTCAACCTTGGGCACGAAAGCGAATGCGACTACTACAACAGGAGCAGAGGCGAAACATATAAAGTGAGGACTTAAATTTAATTATTCTAAATAATTTTTCGGGGTTTGTTCTTTAACAAAATTTTATTTTTAAAGGTCAACAATTTCAAAATCACAACCTTGGATGTTTGCACAGATGTTAATTGAACGTAAGGAGGGAAAGAAACGTTATGAACGTGTCATCCGGCTTTCAGTATGTCGAAACTGGACGGTGTGTTTATTTTAGTTTCGATTGGTTGAAGATAACCCTTAATTTTTCTAGGATGACCCTCGGTTCAGTCCGATGAACTACAAAGACTTGTCTGATCTTCTACACTTTGTTTGGTTGCTAGAGAACATGGGTCAGTTGGTGAACGATCGGTGTTGCATCCAACTTTGGTTCACAGTGGAGCTGGTATGAATCGAGCTGGGACTTATGTAGCTGCTTCTATTTTTGGCCGTCGTACGTCTGGAAATACACTCGAACGCTAAGGTCCGGAAAGTTTCAGTAAAGAATCTATTTCTTTCATTTGCAGCTTGAACCGAGTTGTGAAGGTCTGCAAAAGTCTGAGAAGTACTCGTTACGATATTCTGAATCGCCGTTTGCAGTTTCTTCTTCTCCTTGAAACTATTCTAAACGAAAAGGATGTTAGTCGTGCCCGTGATGTTCTCCGATGGTAAATTTTTTTCGTTTTAAATTATGATTGCAAAAAGCTTTCGTTTTTAGTGTCCGTGATGAGATTGGCAAGACACGAGCAAAAGGAGGACCATCACGGTAATGATTGAGACTTATTTATAAAACAATCTTTTTGAATTTTTAGTAGCAGTGGCTGAGCTTCTGTGAGCATCCATAACACGCTAGGACGATACTTGTGCAAAGAAAGAGAAGAATTATCATGATAAATCGAATTTCTAATATCTCAATTTTTTAATTTCTATATTTTTAATCTGTCATATTGTAATTATTTGTTTTCTGAGTGTGATACATAATTGGTATCTTTATGTTGTGATAAATAGATATACAAATACTTTCTAATCTAAATTTATTTCACAAAATATTAATTTAAAAAAGTTTTTTTAATCAAGGACCTTTTTAGAGCACTCCACTGGTTAGTGGTAATATTTTTGAGTAGGAATTTTTGATCTTTACTTTATAATAACTCTTAGGCAATCCTTGAAGATATTGAATATTGAGCCTTGGATTCCAACAAGATTTTGTTAACTTTTGAATAACATGATTATCGGAAAGTTTTTCTGGATATTACAAATAGATGAACTACCCTTAAATTGCGGAATGATTTATACGGAATGATTTAGGAAATTTAATTATAATTAAATTATAAAAAAAAGGTAAAATAAATAGATGATTTAACAAAAAAGAGTTTTTGATCTCTAAAAAAGTTTCTTTTGCGCATCAAAAAGACTAAAACAAAAAATCATTTCCGTTTATAAAATGTGAGAAAAGGGAAAATAATTAGGTGGTAAGTTTGCAGAATTAAAAGAGACTAACAAAACACAAATAAATTAATTTTTTGTAAAAATAAATTTTTTTAAAGTATTTATATTGCAAAAAATTAATTTAATAATTAATTTAATAAATATTATTTTCTAATTTCTAAATAATTGGTAAAATATTTAAATTTTATTTTTTTTAGTTATAAAGATTACATTAATTTTTTGTGAAATGATCCGAAATTAAAAATTTATTTTTAAATTAATTTAATTTGTGTGTGTGTTTTGGATATATTTATATGTATAAATTTTGTAAATTAAACAAAGAAAATACTATTTTTGGTGTAATATATATTTAAATACATATTATAATTGTATTAATTCATTAAATTAGAAAAACGTGATAAAATAATTATTATAAAAATGTTTGTAAAAAATTAATTTTATTATTTTTTTTATTTTCAATTAAAGATATAAATTAATTTAAATTATAGTAATAATGATGGCATTCTTTTTTTATATTTATTTTATTTTGCAATTATTTTTAAATTCTCAAGCTTTTCATTTAAATATTAAAAATCAAATAAATACACCATTTTCTGAAGGTTAAAATTAAATAAATTATTTTTTTAAATTTAAAATCATATAGCAGTAACATCACATAGTGAGCCAACAAATCACAGAATTAATGAACCTCCAGGTTATGAACCGGATATTCCAGAGGTAGAAGATGGTGAAATAATGAGGAATAATTCTACTAGAGAAAAGAGAAGTGTTAGTAAATTTAAAATAGATTTAAATTTAAAAAAAATTAATTTAAACAAATATATATATTTCTATTAATTTTACACAAATTTTTCTGTAAAATTAAATTTTAGCCATTAAATTAAAAAAGTATTATTCTTTTTATAGCCATATTATGGTTATGGTGGATATAGTAATTGGCGTAGTCCATCATTAATAGCTTCAATTTCTCCAGATTATCACAAACAAATATGGATAACTAATGAACATAATAGATATAGAAGAATGGTAAAAACTTTAAATTTAAATTTATTTTAAAGAAATTTTTTCAAAAAAGGTTCCAGCAAAAAATATGAGAATGGTTTATTGGTCAAATGAATTGGCAAGAAGTGCCCAATCACATGCTGATACTTGTAATTAATTAAAAAATATTTAAATATTTTTTTATTAAGGTGATTTTCATCATTCTCGTAATCGACCAAGTAATGTTGGAGAAAATATTTGGTAGAAAAAAAATATTTTTTTTAATTCAAAATTTTTGAAACTTCTTGTTTAGGGCCGCCCCTTATTATGATTATTCTGATGCAATTCAGCGTTGGTATATTGAAATAAATAATCCTTGGTGTGCTTGTTCTACAGGATATAAACATTGTTGCGGGCATTATATACAAGTAAATAATTATTTAAATAAAAATTAAAAAAAAATATTTTTAGATGGTTTGGGCAGAAACAAATTTAATTGGTTGTGGTTATGCACAATGTAATGGAATTAATGGTGTTGGTGCTTATGCTAGAGCTGTGTATGTTGTAGAATATTAAATATGTGAATAAAATAATTTTTTAAAGTTTTGTTTGTCACTATAATCCACAAGGGAATAGAGTAATGCCTTTAAATAATGGTGGCCTTTATTCGGTTATTTATTTATAATTTTTAAAAATACATTTAAAAATTAAAGTATCCAGCATATGTTTATGCAGCAAGAGAATCAGAACGTTGTAGTGAATGTCCAGAAGACCAACCTTCTTGTTATGACGGTCTTTGTTATATGCCTTTAAATTATAGAAGAGTAACAACAACAACAGAAAGGCCAAAAACAACAACAACAACAACAGAATTAACAACAAGAAAAACAAATAATTGGTATAATAAACAACAAACAACAACAACAACAACATTAAAAACACCAATTAAAACAACAACAACATATAAATATCCAAATTATTATTATAATAAACAAAAAACATTAGAACCAAAAATATATCCAAGTTGGGAAGCTTATTATAAAGAAAAAGCTTTGGAAAAACAATTACAAGGAAATAAAGTAAAAAGAATTAATTTAATTAATTTTAAAAAATAATTTTTAAAGGTGGATAACAGAAAACGAAAAACATAAAAATACAAACAAATTTAGATTTTTATAATGTTAAAAAGACAAAGAAGAAAATTAATTCTGTTTTGAATATTTTTAAATGTTTTAATTTATTATTGTTGTTGTTGTATATAAATAAATTTTAATAAAAATATATTTAAAAAATATTTATTATTTAATTTCAAAAAAATATATAAATATTAAAAAAATATAACATAATATTATGAGAAAAAAATCAAAACAAATGTAAATATGTACTATACATACTAAAAATAAAAATTAGTTTTTAGTTTTAAAATTAAATAATAGAGAGTAGATAAGAAATAATACCTAAAAATCAGGACTATTAAAAAATCATTTGGACTATTTCAATTCTCTCTTTATCTCTCTTTATTTATTTAATTTTAAATTTAAATAAAATATATAAATATATTTTTAACAAAAAAATAACAATTAAATATTTTAAATATTTTTCTCTTCATTCTTTTCTTAATCTTTTTTCTCCTCAAAACAATCCTGATCAGCAGTTCCACTATCTAATTCATCATTTTCTTCTTCATTATCATCACCATTTTGATTTTCAATATCTCTTCTTAAAGCAGCAGTTGTTCCACTTACAGCACTACAATGCTGAGTAAATTGTACAAAATGTTCCATTGCTTTATTTAATTCATTTACTGTTTCTCTTAATCTTTAAAAAAAATAAATTTAAAGAAAAAATCATTTTCAAAAACCTATCCATTCTATTTCTACGTATTTCTGTCCCAATTTGTCCAGAACTTAATCCTCCCCCAACAGATTTTCTATTAATTCCCAACATTTCCATATCTGTATCCTCTGCATCTGTAGAGGAGACTATACCTGTTTGGACTTCATCTATACGTTTTTGTGTTGGTGTTAAAATAATTTCATTTTTCTAAATGAAAAATATTTTATTTAAAAATTATTAAATAATTTATTAAAAGGCGGGGTTAAAGAAAGAGAGAAAGCGCCTAGTAATAACTGCAAAGGGATCGTAGGACCAATGCCTGCCCAGGGCTATTCCCTCTCACTTTTCTAGTTCAAAATTTTTGATTTAACTTTCAAAATTTTTTTAAAATAATCTCGCTAATATATTCAATTCCTTCAACTATCTCAATTAATTTCTTAAAAATAAATATTTTTTTACTTTTTCCATTAATTTTTGTAATCTATCAAGTTGTTGTTGTAATTGTTTATTTTGTTCTTCAAGTACCATTCCTCTTTCCTCCAATCTTTTTTGGTGTAATCTAAGTTTTTGAGCCTCAACAAGAACTGTCATTTGTTGGAGATGATCATTTGTTTGTTCGGTTATTGGATCTAAAAATAAATAGTTAACTGTTTTTTGTAAATAAATTACCTGATGTTTGTATACCTAATGAATATTGACGATGAAGTGCTAAATAGTATTTAATTATTTTTTATTTATATTTGAGACAAACCAGGAACTGGAAATGGACGTTGAATACGTGGGGGAGGCAACATTGTTTGCTGTGAAAATATTGTTGGAAGACCAACTAAAAAATAGTACATAATTTTATTTAAAAAAATATTGAGTATATACCAGTTCCAATACTTTTTGCACGAATTTTGTGTGCATCTTCAATATTTATTTGTTTTTGTTGAGAATCAGTTCTAATAAAATAAAAATTCCTAAAAAATATTGCCAAATAAATTTACTCAATTTTTTCTAAATCTTCATTATTTACAGGTGTCCGCAAATTTGGGGTTGAAGTTGTTGCTTGGTGAGAAAAATTATTTGTTGAATAAATCGCCTTTCTTCTTTCCTCAATTTTTCTTTTTAATTCTCTTAAAAAATTATTATTTATTTTTAATTATGTATTTATTTATTCATTACATATTTTCATATTGTAATTTTTGTAATAATTGCCCCAATTCTTCTTTACTTGCTTGATCTACTTGAGTAACTAATTGACTAGGGGATTTAACTTCTTGTTGGGCAGCTAAAACGACAGCAGAAATTTGTGCATTTCTTTGTTGATCGTGATAAATTTGAATTTCTGGTGATTGAAAGTTTGGGGCTAAACCAGGAATTGCTGGCAATTTTTGAGAAATCTTTAATTTTTTTTTAATTTTTTAAAACAAAATTTATATTTATTCACCTCGTTTTGTTGTTTATTTCCATTAATAAGTTCATTCTCTTTTTCATTTTTTTCATTATCAATCATTATTGGTGTATGCATACCAACACCCATTATTCCGTTTTTTTCGACTCCGTTAATTTTGACTAAAATTTTAAAATAAATATTAATCAAATTGGGGGGATTATCTAGTTAGTTTTTATTAAAAATTTTAAGAGGGCGAAGATTTTGACATTTATCTAAAAATAAAGTTTCTAAAAATTCTAACCATCCGAAGGCAAAATAACAGCCAAAGGAAAATGTTCAGCTGCCTCAATTTGCCTTTTTTCTAATCGAGAAGCAATTAAATGCATTCTTTGATGTATAGATTCTGTTTCAGAATTTTGTGGTGTTTGTTCAGCACATTCAAGTGGGGGACCTTCATTTATTTGTTCAACAGGTAAATAACCAATTCTTCCCTTTCCTTGACGTACTTTATTTTTAATAATTGCAGTAAAATCCCTAACATCATCGCCAGTACTTGTCTAAATAAAAAAAATATTTTTTTAAATAAAATAAACTAATAATTTACAGGAGTACAATATTCCTGCATTGGATGATTTAATTTATGACTTTTTGCAATTCTTTGGCTAAAGAAACAATTCTGGCAAATATCAAAATTAAAACAACGCAAACAACGATAACGAAGACCAACAATCTTTTTAAAAAATAAAAAATAATTCTTCCTTAATTCAAATAAAATTTACCGGAAACATTTTACAAGCATTACATTTAGCTTGATGTTTTGCAAATTCAGAAGAGGCTAATCTGTGCATAACTGGAAGCCAAACTAAAGATTGAGGCTCTCTCTTAAGCCAATCAAGAAATTGATCAGAATTTATATGTGGAGGGAATTTGGAATGTTCAAAACAGGAACGGACAGAAGGCTCTATATTTGAACCACCAAAAGCTGCGGCTTCGCCAAGAAATTTTGGAATCTAAAAAAGGAAATTAAGGGAAAGTAAACGTCTTTGCTCAATATTTATTCTTGATTTTATACAAGCAGACTCCGATTTTACATAACTAACTGAAAATTTTTAAGTAAAAAGAGTGTATCCATTATTGGAGTATAACCTAAATATCTCCACAATAATTGCACTATAAATTCAGAGTACCTCCTAGTATTGGATGTATTTTATAAGGAGGTTTAACTGGTATTCTTAAATTTAAAAATTAACACAAACATGAATAAGATCATAAAAAAGAACTGCAAGTCGTTTATGATCAACTCCATCTTTATTAGAAATAAGATGAAATAAATAAGTATATTTAGCCTCTAAAGTTGCCTAAAATAATTGGAAATAATTTAAAATTAATTTTAAAAAGTTTACATGACAAAGAACAACAAGAGCAATTTTAAACGAAAGCACACGCATTTTTGCGTCTCTACATCTAAAAAAGTTTTTTTATTTATTAAAATTATTATCAAAATTTACGGATCAAAAATATTTAGAAGTAAATTAAGTGTTAAATCAACAGCTAAAGAAACATTCGGCACTAAAGCAGGTCTTTCTTCATGAGCTTTTTCAAAAAGAGGTAAAAGACATTGAATTACATCCTCAACTTGAATTCTTTTTTCATCAGCATAATTAGAAAGATGTTTTGTATATTGCATATTTAAATCGGCCAAATCAATTAAATCCACTAAAAATAAAAAATTAAAAAAAAATAAAATATTCTCAAAATTACAGCAAAGCCGTTTTTGCAGAGCTCTTAACTTCATAGCAGTTCTGTAAGCACTAAACTTTACTTGATTGAAAGAACACAGGCTTTCAAGTATGTCAACCATTGCTGGATGGTCCCATTGGGTGTGTTCTGCACTATGACTGGAAAATTGAATAAAAATTATCACAAAAATCTTTTAAGCAAAATTCCCTACTCGATATAGTAGGGAAGTCTATTTGTTGTAGAAATTGCACGTTGCCAAGGAGGCTCTACCAAATCTACAAGAAAATTCTCGCTAGCTGGTCCAAAATCATTTAAAGCCCTTTCAAGTGCTGCCCATCTACACCCAATATCCCTTTTAAGTTTTTCATATCTTTCATTAATTGCAATTATATGATGTTCTAATTGATCACTTAATTCAATTCCCATTGCTTGAATACTACTAGCCCAATTATTAACATCATCAACATGAGTACCCGCTTCATGAACTCTTTGGCGAAAGTCAAGGCATTCAACCTTTTCTAACTAAAAAATAAAAAAATTAGTTTTAAAAAATTGGGTCCATAAAATAAAGTCAATAATAAATTAATTTTATATTTATAGTAGGATTATCTTAATTATTTTATGTACAAACATTTAAATCCTCTAACAATAAATTTTCAACAGGTCTCATTGTTTGTATTTCCCCTTCCACTGTGCCAATTGAAAGAAGTGCCTCAGCCATTGAACGATCTAATTCTTGCATTTCTTTGTGAGTATCAGCAACTTTTTGATAACAAATAGTTAATTCTTCTTTTAAAATAGCCCAATCTTCTTGTAATTGTTTAGAATCAGAATTTATTTGTTGCCCAACACGGCGTTCTTCACGTTCTGCTTCTGCTAAAAAAATTTCTCTTTAGATTTTAAATAATATATTTAATCACTTTTAGGGCTGTATGGATCAACAGGTGGTTGAGCCATTAGAGAAGGGTGATGTATCGGAGGCCGGAGATTATGTTGCATTAAAAACTCATGTGCTAATTTAATACATTCCTAAAAAACAAAACAAAAATAATTTGTTTTTAGTTAATTAATTACTTCAACAGGCTGTTCTCTAGCCTCAATACCCCTTTGAATTGTTCGAAGAATGCCACATTGTCTTTCCACAGTATTTAAATCACCCCCAACTGGCTGTGTATTCGAAATAGTTTTGCGTTGTTGATCAACCCAAAAGAGAAAATCAGAAAGTGATTGACTGAAATAATATTAAAATAAAAATTGAGAGGAAGGGGAGGGGAAGTTTGGCAAGTTTTTAGTATTTTTGTATTAATTTTTGTAGATCAAAAAGACATAATAAAGCTGATTTAACTCATTTATATTTTAAAAACCAACATTAAACGATCACATTCTTCCTGTGCATTTTCTAATCTTTCTTTAATAATTTTATGTAAAGATAATAAAGCATTCCATTCACTTTCAATACTTTCAACTCGTTTAAGTAAAATTTCCCTTTCTGTTCCAACATTACTAATTATTATTTCATTATTATTATCTAAATTTAACAATTCTTGTCGTTGCTCTTCTAATAATTTACGCCCCATCTTTTTAACTGATTCCATCATTTCTCTATGTGCATCTATTTCCATATTTGCTGACTTAAAAAGTATTTTTAAAAGTTTTTGATTTTTTAAATAATTTGCAAATATTTCTCAACCTTTTCTTTCCCCAACCATTCATTTCTAAGTCCGGTATCTTTAAGTTTTTGTTGATTTTCTGTTTCATTAGCTAATTTTTGTAATTTTAAACATTGTATTTGCATCCATTGCTGAAAATGTCCCAAAGCTGTTTGAAAATCAAAACGCGATCTTTGTGCTGCTTCAATAACAGAACGTCGAATACGTAATTGATCATTAAATTTAGCCCACTGAGTATTTAATTTGCTGTTTAAATGGCTAAGATTATGGCCATCATCCCGTCTATATATTTCCAATAATTGATTGGATATTCTATTCATTTCTCTTAATTTTTCTTCCCACTGATCAGATTCAGCAGTTAATTGATTAATTAAATCTAATTGTTCTGAGAGTTCATCATCACTTAATCCAATAACACGGCCACCAGATGTTAATTTTTCGTTAGCTTAAAATTTAATTTTTAAATAAAAATCTTCTTTAAATTAAGAATAAATCATCCTTTTATTACAATAAAAATCATTTAATTTTTATCTGATCACAAAAATCCCCCCTACCTTGATTTAGCCAAAGCTCAAGAGAGGCACGTAATTGTTCCCAAAGTCTACACTGCTCCAAAAGCTTTTGTAAATCCCCTTTCCGTCGTTTACATAATCCAAGAATTCGTTCCATTTCTGCTGAACAAATTTGTGTTCTTTCAATAATTAATTTATCCTTAGCCTCGTCAAGTACTTTAATTATCTCTAATTGGTTTATTTGAATATCGTCTACAAAATTCTATAAAAAAATTATTTTTAGAAAAAAAGATGAAAAAAGGAAAGGCGGGAAGTCTGTTTTTTGTTCCCTCAGGCAAAATTAAAGTTGCTTTATAGTTAGGAAAGGGTAAGAAAAAATGACCTAATTTTTTATTAAAAACAAAACTGAAACATTTTTGAATAATTCCCTCTCAATTTTACTCCCTCAATGTCCTACATATAAAAAAAATCCCTTATAGGCTCTGAAAAGAGGGAAAGAAATTATTTTTAGACAAAAACACTTAAAGAAATAAATCTACAATTTACCTGCATTTTTCCAAGTGCTTGACGGATCAAACTCTGATCAGAAAGATCAACAGACGTAGCAATATCTCTTTCAACCTCCTTAATTATTTTAATTATTTTTAAAATAAATTTTCGAGTAACGAGCCTGGAGCCAAGAACGTAGTCTAGTAACAGTATCCAGCCTCGATTGATCAGCTAAACTCATTTTTCTACGTGGATATTTGTTATTGTTGTTTACTTCTTTGTCTTCTCCTTCTGGATTTATTATTTGAATTAAATTATTCTCATCCCCAACATTTTCTTCACTTCCATCACTTTGTGTACTTAAAGTTCTATATTCAATAAGATGTCCATTTTCTTGTCCAAAATTTTCTAGAGGGGAATGAAAACCATTTTGTTGGTTCTGAATTAACTAAAAGAAATTTTTAAAATATTTTTTAATTTTCAACAAACACCTCTTCTTCCTCTTCTTTTTTGAATAATTTCTCTTTAGTTTCATCCATTTTATTATATAAATTCTCAATTTCTTCTTCTTCACTTGAATTTTCTTCAGAAGCTGCTGCTTTTTGTTCAAGTAAGCGGTCAACAGAATGTTCAATATTTAAAAATTTAACAAGAAGATTTTCAACAATCTGAAAATTATAAAAAATATTTAAGGAATAAATTAACAAAAAATTATATAGATGTATGTATAATTTAATTTTAATTAATATTTAAAGTTTGATTTAAAAATAACAAAAATTGTCTGGAAAGTGCTTAATATTTTTTAAAGTTTATTTAACAAAACACCTTTAAATTTCCCCTTTCCACTTCTCCAATATTTTTCGTGTCCCTACAAAGGATCGTCACATAAAAGGATCGCCACGGCTAAAAACGTTCAAAGGATCGTAACGTCTAAAAACGTTTAAAGGATCGTCACGGTCAAAAAGTATTAAACGGTCGCTCATCAAAGGATCGTCCATCAAAGGATCGCCACGAGTAAAAAATTCAAAGGATCGTTTTTGAGTCCCCACCCAAAAGAAGACGTTTGAGTCCCATATTTTTTAGAGATTTTTTTCGTTTTTTTTGCTTAGGGTCCATTTTCTTCATATTTTTCAACTAATTTTTTATCAGCTGAATGCAGACCAGCTCATGGATATCCGGATATCAACGGATATATCCGGATACGGACGGATATGGATAACGTTATTTGATGGATACGGATGAGCACGGATATGTTACTCCAAATCCGCGGATATCCATCTCGAAATTTTGCCTGTGATGCAAAAATTAATAATCACTTTAATCCTTTCAAATCCCCCGATATCCCTCTAATCACCATTATCAGACTGGCACATCACTGCAACCAAACTGATGGCACTGAACTGACTTTATGAAATTTTTTAAAAAATGACGACCCTTTGAACGTTTTTACGCGTGACGATCCTTTGATGGACGATCCTTTAATGAACGGCCCTTTAATACTTTTTGCCCGTGACGATCCTTTAACAGGACGACCCTTTAAAAAACGATCCTTTGTATAGGAGCCATATTTTTTCCTTCTTTTTGCACAACCGCAGCCTGTTGATTTAATCGTTGTTGTATATTTTGTAATGCTAACCGGTTTTCACTCAATTTTCCGGCCAAATTCTCTATATTTACTAGAGAAGGTCTGAAAAGTTTTTACAAATATTTCTATAAATAATTCCCAAAAAAATACCTAAAAATCTTTGCATTTTCAACAGCATAAATTTGTTTTTCTGCTGCCTCTGCCCATTGCTTTAAAGCTGCAAATTCCCTCCACAATTCATCTGCTGACCATTTTTCTGCTAATAAATTATCCATTCTTTCTTTTAATTTTATACGAACCTGAAAAGAAAAATATATTTAAAAATAAATATTCTCTAAAAGAACAACAAATGCAAAAAAAAACTGGGCGGGTAAAAAATAAAAGAGATTGTAGTTTAGAAAAAAAATAATTAAAAATCAGTCTTTGTTTCCTTTTGCATAATTTAATGGATAAAATAAATTTTTCTTAATTAAACACGTGTTAAACTAAGAAAAGTAAAGCAAGTTTTGTGTTAAAGTATTAATTTAAAATCTAGTGAAAGTGACCAATAATTAATCAAATGTTTTATTTTTTAGTATTTTTCTTCAATTATTTATTATTATTTTATTAATTTTTAAATTAGAATTTAGCCTTTCCAATTTAAAATTTTTTTAATTTTATTTTTTAAAAATATTCCTTTATTTAAACACATACTTACATCACTCAATCTTTTTCCAAGATTAGCAACATCTCTCCTTACTTCATGTTTAACTTGGGGTTCAACACTAACTAAATTAGCGAATCTATCTTTTAGCCTTTCCAATTGACGGAATGATTCTAGTTTAGTTTCTGTTGAATAATATCTTTTTTGTATATTTTCCTCTTCTTTTTCTATTTTTGAAATATTTAAAGGGCCAATTTGTTCAACTGTTTCCTTAAAAATATTTTTTTCTTTAATTTATTTTATTAACAAAAACACACCAAAATAGCTTCACTTTCATCACACCAAAATTCCAAATCATCAAGTAATTGTTTTAAATGTGTTTGATCAGCTAAACGTATCTCCAATTGATCTCTCTTAATTCTGACTTCTTTTGTTCTTTCATTAAAATCCTCAACTAAAAGACGAAGTTTTTGTTGAAATTTATTGTGGGCAGCGGCAGAAAGATGTTCACTTAAAACATTTAATCTATTTTGGATTTGTTGAAGACGAACAGCAATAGGTGGTAAATAATTCTCTAACTGGGCTTGGGCTGCTTCCAATTCATCAAGGTCAGGAGAAGAATCACGTGATTCTGTCAGATTAATCCTTTCACTCTAAATATTAATTAATTGATAACACAAAAATAAATAAATTATACAGTAGATAGGGGAATGAAAGAGAAGAATAATTCTCTTTTTTTATTATTTAATATTTTAATCAGTCTTTGTTATCTGTGAAAGGATTAAAAAAGAATATCTTTTACTAGTCTTTGAATACTTTCTATAAACCTAAAAAAATACCAAAGATTAAGAGAATAGCGGGTCTGTTATATTTCTTACTCAAAAACTCAGATTAAAATATGTACTAATTACCTCTTCATTTTCTTCATTTTTCGGTAACCGTACTCCCTTTAGTCGTATTCTTGGTTCTTTACAAATATTAGCTAATTCATCCAACATTTGCTCACATTGAGAATAATGCTGTTCTAGTGCCCTTATTGTTTCTCGACGACTTTCTAATTCGGACTTTTTTTCTTCAAAATGTCTCCTCAATGAGGCTATTCTGGCTTTCACATGCTCACTTTCTCCTACTTCCATTGTCATTAAATGTTCATTTAAAAGTTGCTCTCCACGTTTTAATTCCATTTCGAAATCCTTTAAAGATATAAATTATAAATTAAAGGTTCTTCAATTCCTTTTATTTGTACCTTCAACATTTCAGCTTTTTCAGTAAAAGTCTCATACGGCAAGGCATTTAATTGTTGTTGTTGTTCAATATAATCTTCCATTATATTTAAACTAATGTAAAATTGATCCATGCCTCCAGTTTGTTCTCCAATTTTTTGTTGCCTTTTTAATAAAAATTGTTGGCCATCACTTTTCATTTTTTCTGTTGGAGGTAAAAATGATTTTTGTTGGGCTATTTGTGAAGGCGGTGCCAAAGCATCAGCAGCGGCAGTTCGCCATCTTCGCCGTTGTTGTTGGTGGTCAGTAGTGGTCGATTTAAACCCTTCCTCCTCATCCTCCTCTTCATCTTTTTCTTCTTCTCCCATTCTTTGACCTTCTTTTGGCTTGGCCCCCGTTCTTTGCCTTGTTCCAATATTCTCTCCTTTTTTCTCCTCAATATATTCATCCCCTAAAAATTCTTTCAAAGGTTCTGAGGTTGAGGCTATTCCATCAATATTTATTTTATATTTTGTCTCCAACTGTTGTTCTTCTGATGGATATGGCACTAAATTAATGGCCAAATTAAATTAAAGTTCTGATTGATTTAGATTATTATTTAGTGTTTTTAATAGAAACAAACAAATAATATTTTTATAAAAACAAAATTTCATTTCCAATTATGTATTTCTTTCATTCATTAAAATCCTTTTTTCTTAACTAACCAAAAATTTGTTGTGTTGTACTGGAAGTAGATACATTCGCAACATCAAACTCTGGTTGCCACAATTCTTTCCTCCCCTCCTCCTCATTTGTTTCAATATTTTCGTCTTCATCTTGCCTATATTGCAAAGCACGTAGCAAAGCTGATTGGACACGAGATTCAATTTCGTGTAATTGTTGATTGAGTTGATCTAATACATCCCCACCAATTTGTTGTTCACACATTGTTGGGGGTAAAGATTTTCGTAATTCATCTGCGCTCAGCTGTAGCAGCTGCATTTGGCCACTCGTGTCCATCAATTCCTGCTGTAGTGTCTAGAAAAAAATTATAATTTTTTTTTTATTAAAGATATTAAAAAAGGTAAAATTAAAAATAAATATTTTTAATTTTTCAATGAACAAATAAAAAACATTTTGTTAACTTTTTGAGAAATAAAAGATGGAAGAAAGATAAAGAAAATATTTGAAACAAATTCAAGGTTTTTGCGGGATTAATTTTATAAGATATGTATAAACACGCCAATGACCTTTCATTTAATAAAAAAAAGATGTTTATAATAGTAAAATATACTAAAAAGTGTAGTTTAATATTTTTAGTTTAACGTGAAAAAAAAAACAGGAAAAAGTGTGTGATAAGCCGTAAAGTTACAATGTATTTATTTAACACTATTAAAAATGTAATTTTTAAATAAATATTAGAATAATCAATAGAAAATATTTAAAAATTTTGGAAATTAAAAAAATATGTAAATATTATTTTTAAATAATTGCAACAAAAAAATTTAAAAAAATATATGTAGTAGTAGACATAAATTAAGAAAATAAAGAAACGGATTGGAGGTGTTAAGATGAGAAAAGAGAGGAAGAAAATAAAAACATGATTGAATTCTCTTTAATTAAAAGAATTTTAAATAATTAAAATTAATTCCAGTTCATTTATTTTTAACAAAAGATTTTTAAATAAAATTAATTCATTAACAAATACCACAATAACAACAACAATAAACTATATAATTATAATGTAGTTAAAGCTTTAGTGAATATTTTAATCAAAACTAGTTTTGTGATAATAAATAGCAGGAAATGTGTAAATTGCGTATTTTTTGCATAATTTTTTAAAAACGAGTCCAATAAAAAGTTAATTAAAAAATAATTAATTATTTTTTGATTTTAATAAATTGCTTGCTTCTTTTTAAGTAAATATTTAAAAAAAGATTATACAAAAAAGTATCTATATAGAGAATTTTTAGAGGGAATTAATTTAATAAGTTAAGGATTAATTATTGAAAGTTTTAAGAGTTCAATCATATTGTGAATACCGTCCAATGATAAAAAAGGTAAAATAAAGCGAGATAATTCCAAAAAAATTACAGATTCTGCCCGAGTTAAATTAATTTACATATAAGGAATTATTTGTGAATATAATAATTAATTAAATAATTATTTGAATAAGAATACTAAGTATTTATTTTTATAAAATATATTTTTATGTTTAAATATACATATTTACTTTATCTAAATTTTTTGTTGATTACTAAATATTTCTGTCTTTTTAAATCAAGTTTAAATGAATGGGGAATAATTTAATTATCTTTCTTCTACACCCGTAAATGTATGTAGTATATTGAGCACAAAAATAAATTTAAATTTAGATTTCTTGACAAGAATTAGTTTTTATATAAAAGTTAAAAATATTATTTTAAATATATGGCTAATATTGAAATAAAATATTTAAATAATGAACGGAAAAAATAAATATTAAATAAATAAATGGGTGAATCATACCTAAAAATAAAAGATAAAAAGAAAATAAAGTTAAGTAACATTTATTTTAATTTAGAAATTAAAAAAGTGTTCGCTTCGCCTCTGATTTAATAAGCCAAAATAATTTATTTAAAAAAACAGAACTAAAATGCAAAAGCCATTGATGAATCAGCTGCCAATATTTTCGCTTTTTTCTCCATTTCACTAACAAAAGTCAAAACAATTCTAATTTTATACTAATCAAATCCTAAATTTTTTATATCTGGCACCTGCCGGATATTTGGGGTTCCCAAAGTAAATAAAAGAATTGCGCATTAGTGAGAAAAGGCATTATAATTAATGAAAGGAAGGATATAATATTAAATAAAATATAAGTAAAAATAAATTTAGAAGATAAAAGGAAAGAAAAACGGGAAAATTAAAAAAGAAAAAACAAAAAGCAATGTGGCTATTTCTTAGTTTTGTTTGTAGTTGATGAAACAAAAACTTTGGTGGCCAACAATAAAAAAGAAAAGAGAGGAAGGATTAAATAAGAAAGAAGATAAAAGCAGCTTATGTTAAAACTTAAATATTTAGTCACAAAAATATTTAAATAAATAGACTAAAGAATATTTAAAGAAATTTTAAAATATATTTTAGAAATAAATTTAGAAAGTTTTTAATTTCTTGAAATTTAATCTGGAAGTGATTAAGGATTAATATAATACACTAAAATAAAATAATCTGCAATAAATAATTTCCCTGACTTTTTTTTGGAAAACACTCTTTCAGTTATTCAAACTAACCGAAATTTTAAGCCATTAAACAAAAACGATGACCACAATTAATGGGCGCAAAAACCCATTTACCCTTACTATGTATTATATTTATTTAGCTTTTATCTGATAATTAGAAGGGCACAAAAAGAAAAAAAAATTAAAATATAAAATTTAATATTAAATAATTTAATAATTATTAAAATTTTGTAGTAAAAATAATTAATTAAAAGAATGTATGAAAAAAAATTAAATTTTAAAAACGCGCAAAAGGATGTTCAATTCAAAAACAAAGAAAATAAAACAGTGAACATAAAAATTAATTATATTCATGTATATACATATATACCAGCACTTGAGAATATTTGGAATTATATTGCTCTGGATTGTTTTTAAAGAATAAAAAAAGGAAAAATGGATAAAAGAATGAATGAGAAATGAATGCTTTTGTAATTTTATAAAATGATTTATGGGATTAAATAAAAAAATAATTGTTAGAAGAAAATAAAATATTATTTATTTTTAAATAAAATTGTATGAGAGAAAAAATTTATTTTATAAATAGTAACTCTTCTTTTAAAATAAGATCATGTTAAAGTAAATAATCATTTCCAAAAAAGTAAAAAAGAGATTGTACTTTTAATCAGAAAAAAACTAATAAAAAATATACTTACAATAACAGGAGTAGGATCAATTGCGTGTGTATTTAAAGTATTTGCTTTCATTTCCATAGCTTCCAATCTCTCTCTAGCCATTTGTGTTTGTCCATTAAAAATCCCAAATTGTTGGCATATATTGTGAAGTCTTTGTTCTTCTCTTTCAACCTGTTCATCTACATTATGGACTAAATCTATAAGTTCGTCGAGTTTAGAAAGTGCTGCGGAAGTTAATAATTCAATTGGGCCCGATTCTGCAATATGTTTTCCTCCAGCTATTAAAACGTCAAAATTGAGTTTTCGATTGGCAACATATTGACCAATTTTCTGAAAAAATAAATTAAATATAACAATGCGAGGATTATTGTGATGAGATAAAGAAGGCTGGGAGGAATATGTAGATGATATTGAGGAATAAATGATATTGTGAGTGAAATATAGAGGATTGTAATAGAGATATAGAGGAGAGATTAATTTAAAACACATTACATTTAAACGTTGTTCCCAATCTTGTAAATTATTAACAGGATGTCTAGAATAATTAAGATGACGTTTAGCCCTTTCAAAATGTTCAATTGTCGATTGAACTTGTTGACCAAAATCTCGAACATCTTCGAGCGATTCATTTTCATTTAATCCACCTTGATAAGCGGTTGTTGGCGATATCTCACCAATTGATAATGGACTAGTACAGGCTGGTTCTTGCTGTTAAATAATGTTTTTTTATAAAAATAATTATTTTTTAATTTTGTTTACATTTAAATTTAAATATTCCTGATATTTAATTTGTTCTTCTTGCCGTTTTCTGTCAGAAGCTTTTATTGTTAAATTTTGCCATCTAGAACTTAAATTAGCTAAAAGAGGAGCTACTTTAGAACCAAAATCCTTTCTTGATACAGTTTGTAATGATAAATGTTCAAAACGTTCTTTTAATGGTCGAAGGGCATTTAATCGTCTTTAATATACAAAAAAAAAGTTAAAAATATATTTATAATTAACTTACTCAATTAATTGATAACTTTGTAATGAATTTAGTTGTTCTAATTGTCCAAATCGTTTATCCAATTCTTTGGCCAATTCATTTATTTCATTAAAAATCCCCTCTTCAACTTCCTTATATTGCTTAATTTCACTTTTTTCATTTATTTTCTAAAGTAAATTTTAATAAAAAAATATTTTCTTAAATATTTACGGGTATTTGTTTGTTAATTAATTCATTCCAATCATCTAATTTATCTCGAAGTTTAGAACAACGCTGTTCTGCATTTTTAATAAATTCAATTTTTTCTTTAGGTAATCTAATAGCTAAATTTCGAAGAAAACTTTCTAATTCACTAAAAGAAATTAAAAAATATTTTTTAATTTAAAATTGTTTTTACTTGGCTTTTGAAGTTGAATCAGTTGCAGCACGTAATTGTCTATATAATTCATCAATTATTTTGACACATCTTTGAGTTTGCTATAAAAATAATAAAAATATTTTATTGAGATATTTTAACGAAAAATTATTCAAAATAAATTATTTATATTTTCCATTCACCTTTTCATTTTTAATATTTTCATCATTTTGTATTAATCTATTTTCTACTTCCCCCAATAATTTATCAAGTACAGCACATTCTCTATCAAATTTTTCAACAAAATCGACAGCTCTTTTTAATCTTTGAATATTTATTGTTACTCTATTTTCCAATTCATCAACACATTTTTTAGTCATTTCAGAAAGTTGGGCAGATAATTTAATTGCCTGTATTTCTTCTATTATACCTTCACGAATTAAAGTATCCCGAGAGGCTTCACAAGCAGCACAATCTGTGCTTAATTCTTCTAACTGATTTTGAATTTGTTCTAAATGTAGAAGACAGAATTCACAATTTTCTGACTTTAAAAAAAATTTTTTTAAATTGTGTAACTACATATAATAAATTAATTTATTTTTTAATATGTACTAAATTATCGCTATTTATTATTATCACTATTTCCCGATATTCCTTAAAAATAAGAATTTACTTCAAAGGAAGTAAATTACTATTTTCTCTCAAAATTTTTGTTCACCAAAACATAGTAATGATTTAGGGAAAACTAATAACGTATTTTGTAACTCATTTTTAGTCTATTTATCTGTTAAAACCCCCTCTACATATATATTTAAATAACTTTACTATTCCCAGATATTCCTTAAAATCTATCAAATCTTCAATATTAAAAAATCATTTAAAACTTCAATTCCAGCCAAATCATCCATAGAAGATTCAATTTCTGTTAATTGTTGTTGAATTCTATCCATTCTCTCAAAAAGGCCAATTGGTTGTTTAAATTCTGCAAACTTTGGGCGTAGTAAAGAAAGTTGTTGCTTTAAAATAAATAAAATATAAAAATAAATTCAAAATTTAAAAACATTTGCATGATCTAATTGAAGTTTTAAACGTTCTGTAGATGCAAATTCAGATTTTGATTGATGGATATATTCATTTAAATCTTCAACAAGTTTATTATATTCAGAAAATTCTTTATCAATTTTCTATTAAATTTAAATGTTTAAAAAAAGAAAGAGAAAAAGATATTAAACTTTAAATAAAGTCCCAGTCCTTTGTGAATCCTAAAAATTAATTAAAAATATAAAATGACAAAATAAAAAATATGTAAATTATGTAGTATTGGTTATCTAGAACCGGATTTTCGGTTATCCAAACTTTTCTCGATTCCGGTTATTCTGTCCCACAAAACTTTAAATTCTTTTTTTTTGTCAGAACATAATAAAGAATGTTTATTCAAAAAATATTTTTTTATTTTATTTCCAACCTTATACTCATTGGGTACTTCCAAAGAATAAGTATCCGATGCAAGTCTTTGATTTAATATTTGTTGCATATTTCTAAAAATATTTTTAATTTCAAAAATAAAACAAAAAAAAACTAACGCTCCCCAATTATGCATTTGACACAATCTTTGTTCAAAATGTTCACAATTAGCAACAGCCTTCCTTAATTGTGTACATCTCTCATATGTAGCTTTAATTAAAGATTCCCTTTGTTTTGTTAATTCAATTAATTGTGGATGGAATTCCTTTAATTTTTTTTAATTTTTAAAAATTAATTTCAATTAATTTTAACTGTAATTTCCAATTTATATTCCTCTTCTTCAGCTTCCCTTTCAATAGACCCAAGTCTATCTAAAAGACGTTCTAAATTATCTAAATGTTCACTTAATTCTTCTGCGTCTGTTGCCGATTCAAAACTTCCTTTCAATGCTTGTTCTAATTCTTCTAAAAGTAATTTTAAAGAATTAAGCCAAGAATTTGCCCTCCTTTGACTTTCTCTATTACAACAATCAAGTAATTCCTTCAAATATTTAAATTATATTCTCGATATTTTCATTTTACCTCAATCTCATTTTCTATCATTTTCCACTGATTTTTTAATTTCACAATTCTTTCCCTCATTTGTTCCCCAGATATATTAGAACCACTCGATTTCTTTTTTAAAGCAATTTGTGCAACTTCTTCTAATAAATTTAAAGTTTCTTTTTTTGTTTCTTCTTGTAATTGTAAAGAAGTTTTTAAATACTTAAATTTTTTTATTTATTTTTTTCTCAAAATTTATTTCCTTTTTTTACTTTAATTCTTTCAAGAGATTCTTTTAAAGAAGATTCATCAACAGATAAATTTCTTCTTAACCATTCAAGTTCTCTTTTAAATTGATCACCAATTTCTTCCAATTTAACAGCTTTGTGGATAGATAATTGTGTTTTATTTATACTATCAACACAATGATTCCTTTTAGTTTCAGCAGCCCGTAATAAACCTTCTAATGGGGCAACCATTTCAACATCTGATTCACTTGAAGAAGCAGCACAACGTTTATTGCGTAATTCGGCAATCATCCTGAGAAATTTAAAGATTATTTTACAATTGAAGTTTTTTTATATAAAAATCGCCCCTTCTCCTTTCGATTCTAAATTACCCAGGACTCTCTAATTATAAAGGATAATTCCAAATAATTTTCCAAATAAAATTTTAATTTCAAAACTTACTCATCACATTTTTCTAATTGTGCAGATAATGATTTTAAATCACCGGGAATACATTCTTCATTTAATTTTAATTCTCTTTCCTTTTCTCTCAACCATTTTGTCCATTCATCATCCTCCTCCTTCTCTAAATCTAAATTACTAGCTTCAATTTCTTTTTCTTCTTCAGCAAGTAATTTCATTCTAAAAATAAATATTTATTTAATTATATATTTTAGTACCTTAAAGTTTCAGCTTCGTCCATTGGTAAAGGAGGGGAAGTTGATTGTTGTTGTTGTTGAGTACTTGTTGAAGGTATTTCTTCTAAATTATCTTCTTGTTTTAACTGAACAGTTGTTGTACGTGGTGAAAGTCTTGAACCTATTTGAGGGCGTATTTTCTCTTCAATCTTTAATTTAGTTGATTGTTCCTCTTCTTCAGTAGCATCAGTTAATTTATCAATTCGATTTAATAAAGAAATCATTCTTTTTTCTAATTCTAATAATGCTTTGATTTCTTCAGGGGAGAGCTTTGCCTAAAAATTAAATTAAAAGTTGATATTTAAAAGGGAATTTAAAAAAAGTTGGATTGATGAAATAAAGGCAAACAACAGGATAATAACTAATAAAATAACAAATAACAGCAAATAACATTTTTGTGAGTGTTAATTACTCGGAAACGCCCTCCTCCTCCTCCCCAGAAATTATATTTATTACAATCTTCCAAAGACAATAATGAGGCATTAATTAATTCAAAAAAAAAATTCTCACCAATCTCTTCAAATGACTTAAATGTGCTTGTTGTTCACCCAATTGTTTTGCAATTTTAGCAATTTTATCAAATTTATCGTTTGCTGGCATTTGTGGGGGTAATTCATCCAAATATTTAGAGGAAGCAATTAACCATTGATCTAATTGTTCAATCATCAAAAATATTTTATTTTGATTTGTTGAGTGTTTTTGTTGCCTTTCTGGTGTTTTACTTGGACTTTTTATTAAAGGTTCTGGCCGAGATAAATTACTTAAAACTTTACTTATAGTCCCAACAACACAAGACCATCGTGACCTTGAAATAAATTGATTAAAAGAATAAAAATTTTTCTTTTCATTTAAAAATTACATAAAATCGTCAAAAATTTCATTTACTGCATGCAATTGTTTCGAACTCAATTTGACGCGATTGTGCAAAAATTCAAGCTAAAAAAGCTATGCTTTATAATAAGCTATGCTTTATAATAACATATGTTAGTGATGTTCGGAAGAAGAAAAACCCGGGAATCAGGAACCGGGTCGGGAAATAACCTCGGGAGTCGGGATACCCGAACATGACTACTATATTTACATACTTGTATTTGTAATTTAGTCACAGCAGGTTCCATTTCTCGTACTTCATTTAATCGTTTTTGGCAATTAAGTACTGCTTGTTTTATATTTTGAGGTTTTTTAATTGTTAAACTCTCTTTTTCTTGTTGACTGGACATTTGTTGTTGTACAAATTCTGATTTAGTCCATTCAATTAACGGTTGAAGTTTTTGATTTAAAGAAGAAACTTTTTGTATAAATTGATTTAATAATGTTGAAGTTTTCTCTTCTTCAGTTTGTTTAGGAGGAGAAGATTGTTCTTTAAAATTAAAATTAATTAATTATTTAAAATTATTTTCATAATCACCTTCTTTTAATTCTTTAATTTCTTCTTCTTCAAATCTAAATTCCTTTTTCACAGGCCCTTCTTCCGTTTCCTCAATAGTTAAATGTTCTGCCGGCGGTAATTGAAGTAATTTTCTTTTCTTCGCAGCTGATTGAGGGGATTCTGAACCTCGACGACTTTCATCCACAGAATATATTGTTTCTAATGTTATTTTCCTTCTTGGCTGTTCTTCATCGTCTATTGACGGAATTGGAAGTTCACTTGTTTGTAATTTTACTTTCCCTGACTGGATTAGCTTAAAATTATAAATTAAAATTAGTGAGAGAGAGATATGAAAAGAGAAAATAATTACAAAATCATCACAGGAAAATAAATAAATGTCCGATTTTGAAATTTTAAGTTTAATTTTTTTAATTAAAAATATTTTTTTAATCATTTAAAAAAAGTTATGTTCAATATTCTCAAAATTCGGGTAGTCAGATAATATTAGAAAAATAAAATTTAATAATTCCAAATTTTTTAAAATTAAAGCCAACCATTTCTGAATTTTCCTCTAATTTATTTAAAATTCCATCACGTTTATTATTTAATTCATTTAATTTATCACTAATATTTTGAGAAGCCCCCAAATTCTTTCCTTTTTCAAATCTATTAATTAATTCTCTAGAAATTGTTGAAAATTTTTCAAAAAGTTCTTTTTGATTTTCTAAACTCTATTTTTTAAATTAAAATTTATTTAAATTAATTTTTTTAAATACTTTTTCCATTGATCGAAGAATTCCTAAATAATTTTGTACTTCCTCTTCTGTATTTAATTCATTTGGGGTTTTTAATTTATTTAATTTATTTAGTTTTTCATTTAGCCATTCAAATATTTCATTATTTAATTGTTCATATTTTTCTAATAAATCTCCAAGTCCTTCAAGTAATTTTGTATGTAAAGATATTAATTCTAAAAGTTTATTCCAACGTTTATCAACCTAAAAATTTGTTTTAGATATTTTTGCAACAGAAAAAAGATGGAAGAAATGGAAACTATATAAAACCGAAAATCTGTATTAATTGTCCTCCCTTTGCTAATTACCTCACTTATTTTAATTACTCCTTCCAGCGATAGATTGAAATAATAATTACCCCCCCCCCCCCCATCAAATACCCTAAAACACGTTCAAATCTCATATAATTACCCTCCCTTAATTAATTAATCCCTCCAGCAGAAGGTCGATACAATAATTATACAGGGTAATTATTCATTGTTTTACGGTAATAATAATTCTTTGGTTCCTTATTTCCTACTCGATTAAAATCTATTATTTCCTCTAATAATATTAAATTTCCCTGGATAATTATTCTAGAACAATTACCTGTTTAACCAAAATTTCCAAATTTTGTAAATTACTTTTTTGTTCCTCAACTTCTTTTTGTTTTTGTTGAGAACTCTGATCGACAACTTCAACAAACGAAGAAAGTTGTGCAAATACTGGCTGTTTTTCATCCATTTGACGTTTTAAAGCCCCAGCCTCAACACGTTGTTTTAAACAAACATCAATATTTTCGGCAAGTGGGCATAATTGTTGTCTTGATCTCTTTAATTTAAATTATTTTTTAATTTAAAAATAATAATTTTTTTATTTACTCTTTCAATTCCTTCTAACCATTCAATAAGTTCGTCTAAATGTGCTCTTTGTATTTTTTCAATTTGTTGTTGAAGAGCTGTTTGCCTTTCCATAGCACCAATTCTAATTAATTCCCATCGAGATTGGACAGATTTTAATTGGTTAATAATTGCTGCAGATTGTTCTGGATCTTCTAATTTTTTACTTAAATGATGACCACTAAATGATATTTACAGACAGATTATTTCTCTCATTTCCAAAAAAACAAACCGATGTAGAACACGCCCAACACTTTCTTGACTTTGTGTTAATGATTGCATATATTTCTCATGTTCGTGAAATTTTTCTTTAGCAGCTTCAAGGCTTGGTAATTCATTTTCATCTTCTTGAGTTGAAGACATTAATGCTAATTCTTGTTCGGCCTCTTACAAATTATTTAAATATTTATGTTTAATTTTAAAAATAAATAAACTAAATTTCCTTTTAATAAATAAAACTTCAATCAAGTTCTGAGTAATATATTAATGGCTAGATAAAGTTTTGTCATCTCTCTAACTTAATTTAGGTATCCAACTTTTTTTATTTATTCCATTTGGCAATCAAAGATATTTTTATAGGAGATCGAGAATTCTAGTTAATCCTATCCATATTAATCTACTAATATAAGGCAAACCGTTAAGCCAAGTTAATACTTGCTGTAAATAATCTCCATATTCTTGTAATAATTCTTCTGGTTTTCTTCTACTTCTAGAGGTTCTACTAGATGAACAACTTGAAGATTTACGTGAACGCATCCCTGTTTCCATAACATCACTAATGCCAATAAATTGTTGTGAAGGTAAAGTAAATTGTGCCAAAGATTTTGGCGATAATTGTTGATTTAATTCTCTATTTGGAGAATTATTTAGACTTGGCAAAGGCTGATTTGAGGGGAGGACTTGTGGTAATGGAGGTAAAAGCTGTAGAGGACGATAATTATGTAAAGAAGTTTGTTGCTGTTGCTGCATTAAAAGCATAGGAAGTTGTGAAGTTGATTGAATTTGCACTGTTGGAGGTTGAAAAAGAGGTTGTTGTTGTTGTTGTTCTTTTTGAGATTCCATTTGTTTTTGATGTTCAAGTAATTGTGCTTGATTATGTGATTGTTGGGCTAAAGGTGAAATAACGGATGTAGATGTTGTTGAAGGAACTGCTTGTAATAATGGAATAAATGCTTTAGTTGACTGTGAATTTGATGGTGGAGTTAACATATTAGCCTATAAAAATTAGAAGGAAATTATTTTTTTGAAAATTACCCTAAAAATTACCTGAATAATTCTTTGTAAAGGATTGCCTCCAGGATATGGTGGGGCTGATGCAACAGAATTACTTGAATCGGTTAGATGAGCTGATTGAACGAGATTTTGTTGTTGTGCATAAATTACAGGAATTTGGACAACTGCTGAAAATTAAAAAAATGTTTTTATTTTAAAATTAAAAATAATTTTACCTTGTGCTATTGAATGTCTTGCGACTGGCAATCCAGATAATATTTGCTGTTGTTGAATTTGTGAATGAATGATTGCTTCTGGGAATGAAGTTACAGCCTCAGTTGTAATCTCTGTTGGTATAGATGTTGTAGTTATTGCTGTTTGTGCAATATTTGCTTGTTGTGGTTGTTGAGCTCCGGAAGGGGTACTTGGTGCACTAATACTTTCATTGCCAACTGTGGTAGTAGCTAATGTAGACCGTCTTCTTGTAGAAGGTACTCTTTGGGGACGAGTTGATGATTCACACATTCCGAGATATAACTTAGATAAAAAGATTTTAAATATTAATTCCCAGAACGTGGATGGATGGGAAATTCTTCCTCATCTATCAAAAAACCATTAGATAAAATTAATTTATAAAATAAAATTTAATATATTTATTACCATCATTAAATAACACGAAACACTTTTCATATCCAAATGTTCACTATAAAATTCCTTTGGTTGAATAAGCTTTGGGACACGAAAATGCCTTCTTGCAAGACTAAGTGCATTCTCAATTCTGTCTTCTCCCCTTAGTTCACTAATTTCGCTTAAATCAATTAAAGATTCATCAAATGATTTAATTAAAATATTTATTGCCATTCCATCACGAAATGAAGAAGTAAAATCATTAATAATAACATCTGGATAGGAAGCTGTTGCGTCAAGACACCTTTTTAATGAATGAATTAAAAAGACAAATTTAAATAGAAAAAATAGATCGAACAAAAAAAAGAAAAAAATTAACCATTCTTTAAGAGCTTCAACCATTTTTCTCTCATTTGAAGGGGCAGGGGCAAACTTTTCCCAAAAAATTTGAATTAATTGCCAACACATTGTTAATAATGTTTTTTGATTTCCAGATAATAAATCATTTACGGAAATCTGAAAAAGCCAATCATCTGGATCATCAGGTACCATTGCATGGAATATAGCATCAATATCATCTGCCTCATTTTTACCACTTAAAGCCTTTAAATTTGTTTTTTTTTCAAAATTTATCGCAAAAAATTAACTTACAACAGGCACACCAAGTATTAAAGTAGCAAATTTAGAGAGATATTTAACATCAGCTATTTCTCTAAATTACTTTTATTGCAAATAAAATTATTAAATATTTTACCTTAAATCTTGTAAATCTCCATCAATTATTGAATTAGCCCAACGTAAAAATACTGCCTCTTTTATCTTTAATATTTAAACAATTCAAATATATTTATTTAATTCTTATACCTCATATTTTTCTTCTTTATCGGGTTTACGTTCTTTTTTAGATTCTTTTGGAGGAGTTCCTTCAAATAAATTTAAAAAAAATATTTTTTATATTCAAGAAAACTTTACCTTTTGTTCCTGCCGTACCACCAGAAAATAACATTTTTTAATCAAGTACTAATATAATTTATCTATTGAAGAATATTTAATAAAGTAAAAAAGTAAAAAAACCATTAACAATATGTATCAAATATTTAAAATTTAATTAATTTCTTAAAATATCCCTTCTTTCTTAATTAGTCTCTCTTCAAGTTCAACTAATACAGTTTTTCCAATTTAGAAAATTATTGCTTATTAGAATAGGGGTGGAAAAAGATCAGTCGGAGTGTTTGGAATTAATGTGGGGTTCAAGATACGGGTTTTAGGAAAAGTATCTGGGGAAATTTAAACTGAAATATTTTAGCTTCGAACTTATACAAAAAATTTTTAAATTAAATATTTTTATAACAGCATGAAAGTGATCTTTTCTTTTTATTTGAACAATCAATCGTTATTCTCTCCAAAAAAGACAAAAAAGTTTATATTGCCACTCTTTTTTACTTTTTATCAAGCAATAATATCCAACTTCTTTATACATATTTTTCTTCCATTAATTTTTTAAGAGAATTTTTTTCGGTGTCACCTGTTCAGTCCACAAAAAACAAATTGATCAAAAAGAAAAAATAAAAAAAGGAAAAAAAGTATTTGCAGATGAAAAAGAATTAAAAGAAAAAATTGTGTAATATTGTCATGCATTTGCAGTTTTGAAAATAATTTTTATTAAAGGAAAAAAGCATTAGAGTTTTCGTGTTATTTGATCCCGCTTTTGGTTGATTTCGACAGTTCGGAATCGATCTGTTCTAGTTCAAATTCAGAATACTTTTGAAATTAAAATTTGAATGAAAAATTTCTGTTACCAGCTTTGCGCATATTTATTTTAAAAATTTTGGAGATGAAAAGAATTAAAAGGAAATGAAAGAATTCACAATTTTTAGTAAAATTAATTTTAAATAAATTTTTCAAAGAAAATATTTTTTAAAAGTAACTTGATCTTTAGCTTTTTAATTTTTATCGCAAATTTCGAGTAAATAAAAACAACAATTATTGAGTAGGTAATGGATTTGTATTTAAAGATAGTAGTAATTATTAAATTAAAAATACTAAATATTATTTAAAAAACTTAAAAAAAATTTTTTTTAAGTTAAAGAATTTACTTTTAAAATAATTTAAAATAAAAAAATTAAATAATACAATAATTTAAACATTAACAACACCTTCATAATCTTCCCCCATTTCTTCCTCTTCTCCTTCAGAAAAATTAAAAGAATCTCTAATTTCTTTCATTAATGATTCAGAATATCCAATACCAACTTCAAGTATTGCAATAGTTGAATTATCTACATCCCTCACTTTAATTTATAATTATTTTTTAAATTCTCTCTAAATTTACTTACTTGTAATATTATCAATTAAATTATTATTATTTCCATAATTATCATTATTAATTATATCAATTAAATTAAATTCTCCCATACATAAATCATCCAATTCACCGTCCTTTTCAAGTTCTAATACTAAAGTAAATACTAAACAAGTATTTAATTCTGTCCATTGTTTTAGTAAAGCAACTCGTTTGTTATCAAGAGTATAAGCTAAAAAATTATTTTTAAATTATTTTTATATTTTTTCTTGACAGATTTTTATATATTAAATTGGAAAAAACGACGAAAAAATGAACGAATTTTCTGAATTCATAAAATAATTTTCTAATTTCAAATATCAAATACAGATACTATTAAATAAAGTAAAGTTAAAAAATATTTTATTAAAGTTATTCTACAAAATATATATTTATTTGAATAAATTCCTTTCTTACATTTATGACAATCAAAATTTAGCTCCTCAGAATGCCTTCTCGGCAAATTAAAATTTCCTTCAGTTTCGCATAAATCTCTAGAAATATCTAATAAATTCCATTCCACAAATACCCTTCCAGAATCAAATTGCCGACGTAAAAGAGGAGAATGTTCAATTAATTTTAATTTACCAATAAAAATATTTAAAATAAAATTATTTTTTTCTTCTTCTTCTAAATTTCCATTTTCACTAATTAATTCTTCTTTTCTTAACTGAAAAAAATATTATTTGTGTATTCTAAAGCTTTGTAATTAAAAAAATGAATTTTACGCGAATTGAAGGTGATGATGGAATAGCTCCAATATTTATTTGTCTTCTTTCCTTTAATCGTTTTTTCTCTTTTTGTAAAATTTTTTGTTGGTCTTCTTCTTTAGAATTTAATTCAGAAGAAGAAGCATTAGAATGAGAAGAAGGAGAATCTACACTTTCAGCAAAAGAAGAAATAGAACTTGCTAAAAAATAAATATAATGTTACATAGGTAATTTCTTTTTTATACAATATTTTTTTAATATTTTTACTAAAAATATATAATAATTAAATTAAAATATACGAGGAATTGAAGAATGTAAAGGGTCGCTAAATTCAACAGCTCTTCGAACCGCTAATTCATTTGGAGAATTATTTAGTGTTAAAGTAGTATTTTCTTTTGTAGGTTCAACAATTTTAGACTGAAAATGTAATTTAAAAATTATTTAGATTCTCTCAATTTAGAGAGATCTTTTCATTCTAGTTCCAATATTAAACACATTTACCTTTCTCTGTGCTGGAATTGGAGGTAATACACCCAAAAGAGATTCTTCAGAAATATTCTCTTTTAATAATTCTTTTTTATCGTTTAATTCCTCATTTATTTGTTCTTCGTTAACATCTAAATGTTGATTTGCCGATTCCATGGTGTATGTAGTATCTGAACGTAAAGAAACATTATCATCAGATTCTTCTTTTTCCTCCTTTCCATCTTCTTTTATTATTAAATTTTCTTCAAAAGAATTATTAGAAGATTTTGGTGATTGAATATTTTCTGGTTCAGATATTTTACTGTAAAAAAGTATTTTTATTTATAAATAAATAAAAAAATAATTTATACATGCTTTCTGAGGAAGGATTTTCTTCATTTAAAGCGTTTAATTCTTCTTTAAGTAAATTAATTGATTCTGAATCTTTATTTCCTTCATTATTTTCTTTTATTTCAATATCAGAATCTATTTTTTGTTCATCTTTATTATTAATAATTTCTGGTATTATTTTATTAGAAAAAAGACGTTTTCTTAATTCCAACTCCTCAATTTCCCCTTTTTGTTCGTCCTCATCAGAGCTAATAATATCATCATTATCATCTTTAATTAAATCATTTTCATGATTATTTTCTTTTATTTCTTTCAATCTGAAAATAAAAAAAATATTTTGTTTTAACAAATAAATTTGTGGAAGTATGAAAATCGCCTATATTATTCATATGCTTACTCATTAGTTTCATCGATAATTTGCATGTTATTGCTTGCTTTTATTGCTACTTCAGGTAAAATTTTTTCTTTTACATTTTCATTTCGACCAACTAATTGCTAAAAAATTATGGATTTTGTTAAAATTACTTTAAAATTTATTTATTTTCTCAAAATATTTTAATATTAATTTACAGTATTTGACACTAATTTAGTATCATCAAAAACATAAGCAAATTGCCAAAATATAGAAATATCAATAGAAGCACCCGAAGTAATTGTTTCATCTGCCTATAATATTTTAAAAATATTTTTTTTGTTAAATTTTAATTTATTCAAACTCTATCTGTTAACGGAAAAGTTCCTCTGATTTTTTGATTTCGTGCTAAAGGAAATAAAGGAATTGAAATATAACCAAGAGAACGGGAGGTAGTAGCAGAAGAAGAAATAATATTTTCAGAATTTTCTTCAAATACATAAATAATTAAATCCTTTAATTTTTAAATTTGTTAAATAATTTATAATTACAAATAAACCTCGTTAATTAAATATTTGTGAATAGCTTCACTATTTATTGGTAATTTCCATGTTTGTATTTCATCAAATATTGGATTAGCTTTATTTTTGACTACTTTAGATAGATGTATAGGGAAAGTAAAAAATTCATAGGTGATGTATGTACTTGGCATTACATCTGTTGATTGCCTTGTTTTATCACCTAATATTTGAATAATTGTTCTTGGTATATATTTTAGAAAGAATTTTGAAATTTAATTTAAAAGAACGATAGTTTTACGAGGAATTAGAGTGAAATTCTCGGTGGAATGTGCGAAATAAAAGCTTTAAAACTTCACCGTTCCTTAGGAATCCCAAATTTCCCAAAACTTAATTTTAAACAAAAATATATTTTTTCATTCCTTTCACCTTTTTCTCCTCCTTTAAGTTTATCCAAATTATGACACCGATGAATTTGTATTACAAGATTATTTGATTCAATTTCTTCATTAAAATCTTTATTTTCATCATTATTTATCAATGGAATAAATGCAGCAGCAGCCATTCTTCTCCTTTGTGCATTTAATGCGTGAAGTAAAGAAAATGGAACTTTTACATTATAAGAAAGTTTTGCTAAAAGTATAGATGATTTAGTTGATCCTTTTTGAGAATCATCTTCATTAGAAGCAAAAAAGTTTATTTCACCTCTGTAAAAGTAATTTATATATCCAATTAATTTTTTAAAGTTTTTGTAATATTTTTCGTCTTTTTTAAATATATCTACAAGATTAAGACCCTCGTTAACTACTGCTAATAGTCGTGATAGGAGAAGAAAAGAAAAGTGTTTTCATTACCAATAACATAAACAGACTAATTATGGGTAATGTGATTTATTTAAAGTTTTAATCATGAACCTTGTTAAATTATTTATTTACCTACAATTTTATTTCCATTTAAAAAAAGTTAAATAAATATAACTTATTTCTTTAAATATTTTTAATTATGTTTTCACTTATAAAATTTAAAAATTATCTCCAAAATTGTAAATATTTACATTTAATTCGCCTAATTTGTTTGTTTTTAATTTAAAATAAATAGAAAGTAAATATAAATAAATTGTTTAAAATTATAAAAGGATTGGAATGTTAATAACAATTATAAATTCCTTAATTAGAAATTTGTGTGTGTTATTTTCATATAAAAGTGAAGAAATTTTCTCAAAATAATTAAAAAAATAATTTTATTTTCTAAAAATGAACAAAATAATTTTTATTTGCTTAATTGCTTCTTTAATTATTTATCAGATTGATGCCCAAGTAAATTTTTATAATTAATTAAAGTACAAGAATTTTGGGGATTATTATTGTTTTATGAGAAAGTATATTTATTTAAAAGTCACAAAATTAATTTTTATATATTTCCTAAATACTTTTTCAATCCAAATAATTATTTAAAAATTTTATGTCTCATTTTTAAGTATTGGTATAACTATTGGTATCCTTATGGATATTGGAAACGTGACACAAACGATCAAGAGAAACAACTAATTAACAGCAAAATGGCTGAAAAAGAGCCAAAAAGAAGTGAAAGACAAATATTGAGTTTAAATGCTCGAACAAACATTTAATAAATAATTACAAAAATTTGTTTTAAAAAATATATATTTAGATTTAAATAAAATATTTTATAATAGAATTGATATATATAGACAATGAATGATTGAGATTTGAAAAAAATAAAAGATTTTATTTAGATAGAAAGGTATACCTGTCAGATTTTAAAGACAAATTATTTTAATAAAAAGGGTAATTATTATATTTTAAATAATTTTTAAATAAAATTAAACTTTATAATTTAATTTACCTAAAATTTGTTTGTGTTTTAATTGAAAGTAATTTTTTAAGTGGAATTGTTGCTTGCGAACAAAGTTTATAATTTATTTCATTTTGTACAATATATAATTCTATATTCATTCCTTCCTATAAAATAAATAAATATTTAATTTATTTAAATTAATTAATTTAACTGTTTGTAAATAATGAATAAATAAATCGGAGATTGTTAATTCAAAAATACTTGTAAAATTTAAATTAGCTCTAAAAAATAAATATTAAATTAATATTTTAATTAATTTTAATTACTCTGGCCCGTTCACAAGTTGGCTTGTTTGTAATTCAAAATCGAAAAATTCTATAAATTAAAAATTAATTGTTAGTTTAAAATACATAATAGAATCTCTATTTTATTTTGAGTAAAGTAATTAATAATTGGTTATTAACCAATTTGTTTTTCATAATCTAAAAACAAATCTTTAAATTCAAAATTATTTTTATTGAGACATTCTCAGGCTAATTATTATAAAGAAAAACTGCTAGTAATTATGTAATTACTTTACTCAAAATAAAATACTAGAGATTTTATTATGTATTTTACAAACCAATGGCAACAAAAACAGCTGGATTTTGACTTTCTGCAAATTTCAAACAATTTTCTGTTAAAATTAATTTGGAGAAAGTAAGAGAAAGTTCTGTTGACTTGAAAAAAATAAAATTAAGAAAAATAAAATAATTTAAAAAAACTTCAATTTGTTGAAGATTATTTTTATTATTTTCAATATTTTTCTAAATTAAAAATAATTCTTTTAAAAATTTTTTTAAATAAATTATTTACAAAAATTAAATTATTATTTAATATTTGATTTCCATTAGCAATTGACTGTAAAGCTCTTTCAATTCCATTTGTTTGAATATTTCTCTTATTTAATTCTGATTCTAATTCTTTTAATTTATTTTCATATTTTGCTTGTAAATCTTCATTTTCTATTTTCTTTTGGTTTAACTAAATTATTTTTAGGGAAATTTTTTTGTTAAAATATAAGGAAAATGTGAGGTTAAGTAGAAAATTATAAATTTTGATTAACATTTAACAAATTATTTTTGGGTGGTATTTTATAAAATAAATATTTAATTCTCTCAATTTTTTTTTAATTTTGTGGATTAAAATATATAAATATTTATTTATTTAAAATATTCCCTTTAAAAATTCCTTTCAAACCTCTTCTCGTAAACGATTATTTAATTCATGCTCGGCAAGTAAAATTTGTCGAACTTTTTCCAATTCCTCATAAACATCTTCATACATTTTTTGCCATCTTAAATTTAAAAAACAATATTTTTTTTTAATTTAAAATCTACCTAAAATTATTTATTTCATTAATTTCATTTTCGTTAACATTATTAATTATTTTATTTTTATTTCCAATTAATTTTACATCTTTTTCAACAATACTCAAAACATCAGAAAATAATTTATCTAGTAATGTATTTTCTTTGTTTGTTGTTGTTGTTGGCTTTTTTGTTGTTAATTTATTGGCATTCTTAAGTTAAAAATTAATATGTAAAATGCTTTTTTTTGTTATTTATTAATAACAAAAAAATTTTATTTATATGTAGTACTTAATTTCAAGTAATTCATGGTTATTTATAATTATTGTAAATACTCCCTTAATAACCCCTCTAATTACCAATCAAGTAATATAATGATTAACTTTATAAATTAGTTGCAACATTATTTAAAGTCCTCTTATTAAAATACATCTATTTTTAATTTAACTACATATCCTTAAAAATAACCTCCTCCTTCTCTTCTTCATCATCATTATCATTAATATTATTATTTTGTTTTTCCATTTGTTTCTTTTCATTTTCAATTAAATAATTATTTTTTATTTTATTATTATTATCAAAATAATTTTTTTCTTTTTCTATTAATTCTTTTTCTAATTGTTCATTTTGTAATTTTAATTTATTTATTTTTTGTTTAAATTGGTTTCTTTCACTTTCACTATCAGAATTAATTTGTTGCAATTCTGAACGTAAACGAGATAATTCATCTAATGTTTTCTTTCCATTATTTTCTTCTTGTAAAGAACTAAAAATTGTTATAAAGAAATGAATCTTTAATTTACCGAGCAATAATTTTATCATAAGCAGATTTAATTGTTCGATATTCTTCTCTTAAAATATTTAATTCCCGATCAGAAATTTGGGCATTTTTTGAAGAATTTTCAGCTTTTCTCTGAATTTCTTCTCTAAAAGAGGAAAGTGATTCTGTTTGTGATTGATAACCACTTCTAGCATTAGTTAATTCTATAGCTAATTTATCATATTCTTTACTTAGAGTTGAAAGTTTCTTTTTTTAATTAATTAAATATTTAGAGAATTTTAAATTAATTAAAATTACTTTTTCACTTTTTTCTAAACTGAAACGAAGATCTTCATTTTCAGCAATAATTGTTCGATTTTGTTTTGTAATTTCTCTTAAACGATTATTTTTATCCCATTCATCTGATACACTTTTAAGGAATTTTTTTAAGAAAAATTAATTTTTAAATTTAAATATTTACTCAAAATTTTGAAGATCCACTTGATTATTTTTAAATTCATTTCTTTTCTGAACAATTGGTTTTTCTGTTTTCCATTCTTCATCTGTTTTATAAAAATAATTTCAAAAAAATATTTTTATGAATTATCTAATAAGAGATAATTTTACAA